TCTTTTTAAGGATCCCATGGGTCCCTGTCGTGGGAGGGACCGGGGGTGGGCGGGTGGATTTCAGCGAAAAACCGGAGTTTCTCTCGATGCTGAAAACAACTGTGCCAGGCAAACCAGAATACGGAAGAACCAGGATTCAGGAGGTAATAGAAAAGGAGAAGATAGTTTAGAGCATTACCCTAAATGACCGAGATCCGCCAATCCTCCGCTGCCAATCACATTCAACTCATTTTTTCCGTCCCTTCCATTCCCCTCGCAGGCTCACAAAAAAAAATTGCTTTGCAGCCGCTCCTTGTTGATCGTTAATGTAAAATAGAAAAACAGAAGAACGACTGTACGCAAAAGAAAGTGGAAGACAGGCGCAGTTGAGGAATGAAGAAAGAGGCGGGAGAAAAAAAACCCGGCTATTTTCGCCTGTGTTCGTTTGATTGGATAACTTTCATAGAAATGCCAGCAAGAATGTGTGCATATTCCTCGTTGCGCGGCGAGCTCACCTGATCGACGCGCCGAAGCACAGCTGCGTGCGCACCGACACAGATAAGAAGGAAAAGGGTTTGATGTAAGAAGGAGGGGGGGGGGAGAAAGCGACGAGTGATAACAACGGGCGGTGCTTGCGCAAATGCGCCAGCAACAAAAACAAGCTTTCTTCGCACGACGCTTGCGATCATAAAAGACAGGCCCCAACAACCCATCAGGCGAATCTCTCCTCGCTTCTTTTTTTTTACTCCGTTCAGTAGTACGTAAAAGCGAAATAAAAAACAGAGTTGTGAGACAAGCGGAAGAACAGCGCGCGAAGGCGTCGGTGTAGTTCTGCCACTCGCTCTGCCACACAAGTAGGAGTCACCAAAACCCCACTGTGAAAACACACGCACAGGGTTTTGGATAGACAGTTATAAATTCGTAATGTGAAAGCGATTCGCAACCGTGTTGGAGGCAGCTCTCATGAAAAAAAAACCCAAGGGGGGAGGTGGGCAAAAAAAAAACCCTCAGAAGTAAAAGAAATGGAGAGAGTAATGTACAACTGCGGCCGCTACGCCGCTACCGCAATAAAAGGCACAGAAAAAAAGAAAGGGAGGAAAAGAAAGAGGCGCATTGGGGCAGCCCTCACCGCTGCTGTCAATACTCTTTAAAAAGAAAAAAGGGGACTCATCACAAAGCGTGCGTCATTGTAACGCACGAGACAAAAGGTCAGCAGTGAAAAAAAAAAGGGAAGGAGAGGTTTGAGAAAAGGCCCTATCCATCAGCGACAAGAAAGTTATGCCGCTGCTGACGCCGTCGTGCGCGCCGTAGCAACCGTTTCGCGGCCTCGATCTTTTTCACCTCCTCCACGTCCTCCGCGCTACCGCCGGCTGCCACGGCTTCTGCAGCTGCCGTGTCACGCACCATCATCTGGGGCTCCCGCGTACCCCAGCGATGTTCCCGACTTGAGAGTTCCCTGTCCTCCCTCCCTCCCTCCGTCCCCGGCGAGTTGGAATGGGAAGGCACGTTTGAAGTCTGTCTGGAGAGCTTCCCCTCCGTTTCTTCTGCTTGTGGCGCATGAGAGAGCAGAGGTGGCTGCGGTGGCGGTTGCAGCCGCAGCAATCGCCGCTTGCGGATCGACAACACCTTTTCCTGTAACGCGAGCTTCTCAATCTGACCACGAACCGCGGTAGAAAGTCCAATGTGACTCGACACCAGCGCCACCCGCTCCTTCTCCTTCACACTGTAAAGGCCGTCCGCTACGCATGTGCACACAGCATCGTAGATCAGCACACGCGCCATCGAGGAGGGAAAAGTGGCCGGAGACACGAACGACAAGATCGACTCGATGGCCGCGGCGTCATCCGCTGCCTCCCGTTGATGCCTTCGGAGCGCAGCGGCGGTGCTCTCCGGTGGGGACGGCGGTCCCGCCGCGCAGGGCCGCTCGCCCTCCGCCTCCTCCGCCTGTCCGACCTCGCTGCCAGGACGACTGCTACGACTGTTGTTGTCATACGACGGATTATACTGCTGATGGTGACGCAGTGGTAGAGGTGGTGGCAGGTCCTCCGTCCCGCTGCCCAACATCAGCGCCATTGTCGTCTGCACCTCCTCCTCCGACTCCCCCGCGAGTCCCTCTAGCATCCGGTTCATCGGGAGGGCGTCGACGAACTGCAGCAGTTCAAGCTTGGTGAGGTTATCCTGAGACACTTTGGAAGGGAGGAGCAGCTCAATGAGTCCGTGGAGGTAGCGGCCTTCGCGCACCTCCAGGCCATGCCCGGTCGCGCACAGCAGGATTGTTTTAACGTAGACGTACGGCATGTTGTACGCTCCCAGGTTGGCGCTGTACTTGGAGCCGTAGAGCGCTTCGATAAGGAAGGCGCAGCCCACGATGGGGGTGTAGCGACTACTACGCGCGGGCCTCGATAGCTTGAACATCTTGCCGTGATCGCCGTGTTTTCTTTCGTTTTGTAAATATACAGGAAAGCCTCCGCCGCCGTTGGGTTTGTAAGCGCAAAAAATAATCTAAAGGAAGCCGTAAAGCGCGGAGGTTATGCATATCGCGTAGGAACGATTCTTTTTACTGGGAGCACGACCCGTCACGCAAGCACAACAACAAAGCCGAATAATAATAATAACACAGGAAGCGATGCTTCTACCGTTTTTGAAACAAAAAAAAGGTGAGAGGGTGATATTGCACAGCAAAAGAAGAGAAACCTATCCAACGTTGTCATACAACTCGTGCAGCGTTCGTGAGAGGTGAAGGTCTGCTTCTGAGTTTATCTAAACATATGCAGTGTCTCCTGTTCTAGTCTGTGGCGTTGTCTTCGACAGCTAGGAAAAACAAAGAAAGGCAACCGTACGAGCCGCTGAGTGACGAGAACGAAGGGTTGTTTCCAAGCGTAGACAAGAGAAGAGAAGGAAGGGGAAAAGGCGGAAAAAAAAATTTCGGGAATTATTTTGCATTGGAGTTTTGACGTGTTCCCTGGTTGATGCTCTTGTGTCGATGAAGCATGCTGTGCCGTGCGCACTACCACACTGTGTTCTTGGAAGGAGGGGGTAGAGGGAGAGAGAGAGAGAGACCAGCTCGAAAAGCCACTACGACTGTTTCATCGTCGTGACTTTTTTCTTCTCTTAATCCACGAATGATGGCAGCGGCAACAATGGCGTGGAAGACCGAGGTGTGTGATTTACGACGTTGGTCCCATTGATGGATTCGTGTACGTTTTCCCTCCCTCCCTTTTCCTCTTCTTTCTCGTGTGCCGAGTCGATTCGATGTTAACACAGCGGACGCCTTCCGACGTACGCGCCATAGGTGCGAGAAGAACGGGGTAATGCGGTGTCCCCGTGGCCCCTGCCACGAACGAAGCGAAAAGGAAAAGAAAAAGAGATGGCATCTCTGAAAACCAAGTAGAAGTGACGAAGGGGGAAAAAAAGACACGAAAGTGAACGAGATGACTTACATATATATGTGTATATGCACTTCATGAAAAAGAAAAATACAAAAAAAAAAGAAGTTTCAAACAGAGGGAAAAAATACATTAATAAAAGAGAGGCGGCGTACGTGATGCGCATGCGTTGCCGCCCACACACGTGCGTGGCAGCGAATACCTGCCGCAGGCTCGCATCGTAGACACTGAACATTTTGTGGGTAGGCGAATAGCTAGTTTTGCATTTTATTTCTTCGTCGTCTTTTTTGTGTAAACCGCATTATTGTTTTGCCAGTTTCCTTCATACCTTCCTCCAACTCATACAATTGCATATAAACAACCTCCATACATACTTTAATACGAATAGAGAGGAGAGGGAGTCCATCTATGAGAAAAAACAAAAAGCGAGACAACTGGTGAGCTGATGAGGCTCAAACAAATAGAAAAGAATAGGAAATGGAAGAGAGTAAAGCGCACCACGCTGGTACGCACGAGAAGAGCAAGAAAAGGAGGGAGAGAAAAGGGGAGAATAACGGCGAAGCGCAAGACAAAAGATGCCGCCGCTGCCACAAACTCTCTCTCTCTCTCTTTGAAGCACCAGCAATAAGGCAAGAAGAGAAAAACTTCGCTGACGTTTGTGATTGCGCGGGGTCTTTTACGCACAATGACACCACGAAACACGTACTCACTCACGCAGATAGAGAGAGAAACAAAAAAAAGGTCCCATGGAAAGGACACGCCTTTTACGTCTCTCGCACCGGGACGGACACCATGAAAGATAGCAAAAAAAAAGAAAATGAAAATGAAGACCATATAGGCAAGCCCACCTTTTCGATACCAAACGACCCTCCGCACAGTACATCAAAACGTTTCTTCAGAGACCACATTTCACTGCTCTCCCTTTGCAGCCACGGATGCTGTGGAGAGCGTACCGCCTGCGTCAGCGACTGCACAGTCGATCCATATCACACACACACAGTGCTGGTATTCTGAATGCGTCTACGTCTGCTTGCTCGTCTTTCATTTTTTCTGCAGTGAAACTTTTTTTTTTTAATCACGAAGCAAGCGAATCCTAACTCACCTTTTCGGGGGCCTCAATTTCGGCCCACATGGCGTCGCTCGTGAACTCAACCCTCGCGTTGCCTGTCGAGTCAACGTTAGCGGGGGCGGAGCGGCTGCGCGTCCGGCTACGCGTCGGGGTGTCGATGTAATCAATCGTCTCCGCTATCTCACGGTAGTACTCGACCACCGTGTCCAAAAAGACCTCCGTCGACTCGGCCGCAAACTTCTGCGTTTGAGCCATGAGGTCCTCGTACTGCCCATCAAACTCCTCCAGCTCCGTCTGGTAGATCCTCTCCTTGCTGTCGCGGTTGGAGACGAGCGTGGAGTGCTTTTCGTCCATCATGAGGTCCTTCCCTTTCTTGGAGTTTGCCTTCTCCCTCGCGGCCACCATCTTGCGGGCGCTCTCGCGCCTGAACATGCAGTCCACAGTCTTCTTCCCCTGTGTCGCCACACGCGCCTGCAGGGCGATCAATTTATTCACCTCATCCATCCCCTTGCGCTGCAGCGTGGTGCTGTACTTCGGGTACACCTTGGTGCTAAGGGCCTCCATCGCGTCGCAGAACTTCTTGGACGCGCTGAGGGCCTCCGCGGCCAGATCGCGGTCCATGCGAGCAGACGCCGGGGCAGCAGCGGGGGCGGTGACAGGATCTGACGCATCGTCTTGACGGACGGCCACCGTACTCACTTCATTCGATCCGTAAGGAGACGTGTCCGCACCCGTCATCGCACGGCGCGTTCCACTCACACCGCCGCCGCCGCTGTAGCTCATACAGGCCGTCACGGCGGAGTAGCCGCCCCCCACCTCCTTCAAACGCTGCGGTGTGCCCTCCATGTTCGTCATCGCCTTCGCTAAGTTGTCCTTCAGCAGCTTCAACGCATCCTTCAGCCGTTTCAGGTTCTTGAGGCGGTAGTCCAACTCGGGGTTCACATCGGCGATGCTCGCGCTTGGTTTGACGGCGCTTGATATTTTGCTACCGACCGTGCCCATTGCAGCGAAGAAGCGGCGCACGAAGGCGACGAGCGTGAAGAAATGAGAAGTGGGGTGAAGAAAAAGAAACTTTGAGTGTGTGTGTATTGGCTGCTGCTGCTGCTGTTTCTGCGGTCCTTCCTTCCGTCGAGGAGCTGGTGCGTTTGCAATGGGTCAATAATGGAAAGTGGGCGCAGTAGAAAGGGGGAAACACGGAAAAGCCGCACTCCGCTGCGTGGTGTTGCGGAAGATGGACAGCGACTTGTGCATAGCCAAAAGGGAGGGAAAAAAAGCAAGGCGAGATCAGACAGGAGAGCGCAAACAGAATGCAAGTTCCCTCTTTTCAACACAAACCGTAGGGAGTGGGGTGGGTGCTGCTGTTGATTTCAGGAAGACGAGTAGACAGACGCAAAAACGACTTGCATGCTTTCCGCCCCTTTCATTTCGTAATGCACTGAAGACGCGCACGTTTGTGGGAACCCTTCGTGTTTGCCCTAACGAAAAAAGGAAGCCGCAGCGTCGTTATTGCGGAAATGGAGGTCAACACACCCTGTGAGCACCGGACTTCGAGGGCCTACGTCGAGCGAAGCAGTCTCTCCCAAATGACGGAGTACAATGCACGTCGACGTAATGATGTCGTTTACCTTCCATGAAGAGAGCCTACAGTGCTCGGTCTGCAACAGCTGAAGTACCTCAGCCATGCAACAACGCGGGGATTTATATTTTTCTTTTGACCCCGCGCATTTTCTTTTTTTTTTTTGATCTGCGCCGCAGCAGCGCTGTTGTCATTTTCTGGTGTTTTTTTGTTTTGTGGTTACGTCAGGACAGGCGCTCCACGATTCCAAAGAACCAGCACGGAGAGCCACAACTCAAATGCTGGCGGAACGTAGGAAGGCGGGGGAGGAAGGGGGGGAGGGTACAAGGAGATGGAGGAACATAGAAGAAGCAAATAAATAAAAACGGGTACAAAGAGCCAACGTAAGATTCGAGGAGGACTTACAAACAAAAAAGAAGACGGAAAAGAGAAGACGAAAGAGCGAGGTGATATGGAGAAAGACAATGTATATCCACCTCGTGTACAAAAAGTGAAAGTGTGAGTAAACGGAAGTAAAACAACATAAAAGAAGAAAGCGCAGAGACAGCGCAGAGTAACGGAGGAGGATCAACACCAAAAAGAACAAAAGACGTGAAAAGAAACCAGAAAAGAAAAAGGCCTTGAAGTTATGTCAAGCAGGCTTGCACAGGCGCACGTGGCTGTCCTCCCAGCTCTGCGCCTCCATCCCGCGCAGATGCGGCGCGTAGGCTGGGCTGTCCAACGCGTAACTCGTTGACAGCGCGTGCGACCGCCCGGACACGCCACCCGTCTCCGACTCCCACCCATCGCCGTTCGAGTACGACTTTAAAGCCGCCGGTGTGGTCAGGCATAACGGATAGCCATGGCTGGCCATCGCGGCGTTGCTCTGCCCGTTGTCAGAAGAGAGGGTCGCCTGGAAGCTGTTCGCGTTGGAGTCGCCGTGGACGTGTGAGTTGGTGCTGGAGGAGAGCGTGGCGTCATCGGGAGGTGGGGCAGAGGCCATCAACGGCGCTGCTCGGGAGTTCGCAGCAGCAATAGGTGATGGAGGTGTGAGATTGGCCGGTAGTGTCGTTGACCGGCGTGTCGTGTTGCGGGACGGTTTCTGCGATCGCGGCTTCGGCTGGCGGTCTGCGGGGCCGCTGCTCTTCAACGCGGCGGGGTTCACGTGCTGCTGCTGCTGCTGCTGCCACTTCCGCTGCACCTCGCTGGGCCTGTCCGCCTCCGCCTCCATTGCCGCCATCAAATTCACGGGCTGGAGGGAGGACCGGGCGGTGTAGCTGACAACGCCTGTCACGCCGCCGCCGTCGCAATCGCCGTTGTCGAAGGGCTCCGTCGAGCGCGCACAAGCGAGGCGAAGCTGAGCCGCCTGAGACACCAGGACATCAGCACAACGATCATTGTGGCTGTGGTGGCTTGTGGGCGCCACGGTCACCGCACCGGAAGGGCTGCGGGCCTCCGTCACTGCCGTCGCTGGGGCTGCAGTCGCAGGTGATGCGGAACGATGCCCGCTTTGCTGGAAGGCCGGCGTGTTGCCCTCGCCGAAGGGGGCGCGCCCGGGGCTCAGCGTCACACTTTTCTCCACGAGCGCCGTCGCTGCTGGTGCTCGTGCGAGGGGTCCGCCTTTGGCTCCGGCAAAGGGGTTCGACGCTGCTGAGGCAGCCGCAACCCCCTTCGTCGGCTTCTGGATCACGGCCCTGTCGAACCGCGGCACCACCGGCATCGACTCCGTGCCGCTTCCCGTCGCGCCGGCAGCCGATCGCACGACCGACGTACCCGGCCCGCCGGGGAGCCATGCCATGGGATTCGGACAGGGAGGCGGCGGGGTCGGGTCCGGCTCGATCAGCCCAGCCAGGCGGCCCTGTGGCGAACGGGAAGAAAGCAGCCGCCTCTGCGGTGTACCGGGCGTGGACCAGCAGCTCATCGACGCAGCAACCGCAGCAGCAGCAGCAGCATCATCGTCGTCCAGCGCCCGTGCCGTTGGCGGGGCCTGCTCCGCCGACGGACCGCGATTTCTCCGGTTGGAGTAATAGCTCGTGAAGTTGTGCGAGGCGCCAGTGTTCCGCTGGTGGGCGTGGGACCCTGGCGATTTGCTGGGCGTACTCCGCATTGGCGTGACGTCCTTGAGGGCCTTGTCGAGCGGGGTGCTGGCGTTGCGAGAACGCAGCCGGTTCGCCACCTGGTCGGCCGGGGCAATCCCCAGTCGGCTGCCGAGGTCCTGCGAGGCGTTCACCATGTCCGCCACCGCCTCCGCTCCGTGTGGCGCCAGGCAGCTGACGACGTTCAAGATCTGCGCCAAGTACACCGCGTTGGCGTCGAGGAAGTCGTCCATGCTGTGCCCCGCCACATAGAGCTGACGCTGCATCAGGTCCTCGTACTCCGCGTCGAAGGCGCGCAGCTTCGCATCGTAGGCCTGCTCTCGCTGCCGCGCCGCTGCGGCCTGCTTCGCGTGCCGCTTACTCGCCGTCAGCGGCTTCCCCAACCGGACGTACTTCGCCTCTTTCTTCTGGACAATTTTCTTCGCCGCGACGGACTTCCGCAGCGCACACGCGACGCCCTCGCCCAACTCGACGGTCTTCTTTGCCCGCGACATCACGTCGTGCAGACGCGCCAGCACCGACTGGTGCACGCTCCCGTTGAACGCCACGTAGTGTTCCCCCTCGCGCAGGCGTTTCATCTCGCCGGAAAACACCGTAGCGGTGCCCTGCAGGTCGGCACCGTAGCTCTCCACCACACGGTTGCTGTTCATGGTCGAGCTCCAGATGGGGTAGGCTCGGTTCATGGCGCTGTGCGGGTTCGTGTTGTTCACGCACTGCGCCACCTCGTGGTAGCTCTGGCCGACGAGGGAGAGGCTGCCGGCCATTTCTCGCATTGCCTGAACGGTGCGAGAGATGTTCGTATCGAAGTGCTTCAACACCTTCGCGAAGAGCCTCACCCGCTCAAAGCGGAGGGAGAAGTCGTAGTTGCTGCTCGCCGGCGACGGACTCTTTGCGTGGCCAAACATTTCCTCGATGGGTGCGAGTGCGTCTCTCGATGTCTCTTATAGGGGAAGAGGAGGAGGGGGGAGGCCAATGAGAAGTCAACTTGTCGGTCGGAGCGCCGAAACGCACTGATGAAAAAAAAGAAAAAGAAGATCAGTAAAAAAAAAAAACGAAAGAGAAACACAAAGACGGATAAACGAAGGCGATGTGAAGGTGAGACGGGGAAAAACAAGAGACGAAGCACACAAGAAGAAACAACGAACGCCTTCGATGAGTGATGATGACTTGCTGTGAGTCGGTTCGTTGCGGCTCGCTGCAGCGCGCAGCTTAGGTATGTATTGAATCTCAGAAAACTACACTAAAGAGATTATAAGTAACACAATTTGATCGATTGCGTTTGATAGGGGTAACATCAACAAAGGAAAAAAGAAAACCTTGAGGACTCGGGAGAGTCTCCCCGGAAGAGAGGATAGTAAAAGGAAAGACACAAATAGCAAAAAAATAAATATTGATGTTACGAGAGCAACCGGTTTCGTGAGCAGGCTTGTGTATATGCGTGTGGTGTAGCGTAATCTGCTTTGAGAAAAAAAGCACCGCTAACCTTGTCTTTTGATTTCCTATTTTCGTTGTTGTTTTTTCCAGCCGGACTAAACACATTATTAAACAACAAAAAGGAAGAGAAGTGCGAGAAGCGGCGAGAGAGGGAAATTGAGACGAGAGCTTACCGGAAGACGTGCTTAACGAAGGAGTCCATTTACGTGCCCGTTTGTCGTGTGAGCAGTGAAAGGGCCACAGCACGCAAGTACGCCGTGAGCTCTGCAGACGGGAGAAGCCACAGTAGCAATTCAGCGTTGTTTTCCTTCACAGAAGGGTTTGCAAAAAACCGGAACACAAATAGAGGCAGATACGTTTTTAAATGTTCTTCCTGTTTCCTTTGGAGATGTTCGCTGTACATCTTCAAAGGCCTCAAAAACAAAACGGAGAACAAATGGTACGGTAAAGAGAATTCTCAAAAAAAAAAGAGAGAGAGAACGGAATACGCCACAGGAAGAAAACCGCAAAGAGCTTCTCAGCTATGACGCCCTCCGCCTGATCGCACACAGGGATACTTGTTCGTTGATGTTGGATCTCTCTCTCGGGGTTTTTCTTCTTTTGATTGGATCCGTGCTACTCTTCGATTGTCGTGGTTAATCGAATTCAAATTTCTGTGTTTTCTCTTTCTTTCTTTCTTTCGACACAAGAAAAGAGTGTAGATGAAATGAAAGGCGGAACCACAAATTCTGCGTGTTTTTCTTTTCCCGCATGAGAACGGAGAATGGATAACGCTATTAATAACCAAAAAGAAAAAATGTTTTCGCTTGCTTGCGGTTGCCCACCTGCCGGTTGCGCCCATTCCAACAGAGGCAGGTTTATCGCCGTAAATCAGTAACCAAGAATGCCCACGCATCGGCACGCGAAGAGGGGCAGACGATGCCGATGAAGATGGGAAAAGGAGGAGAGAAAGAAAAAGGCCTGGAAAAGGCACGACAAGAAAAAGTAGTCGTTCATTTCTTTTTTCCTCTCCACTACAAACCCACGTGCAGCTCGAGCAGGAAAAAAGGAAGATGCATCGTTACATGTTGCAACAGCGATTTCCATGTAGAAGACTGGGAAGCGAGGATCAACAGAGAAGCCACGAACGAATGCCAGCAGTAGTGCTGTAATACATCAATACAAACCACCGAACAATAACAAGAAAGCGCAGTATAAGAAAAGAAGAACAGATGAAACAGCGCTTCCGCTTCTCTTCACGGAGGGGACATATGAATTTTCAGCAAACCAACCTGCTGCTTTAGCGTTGATCTCAACTCTGCACCACGACGGCGAAGTTACGATGGCAGAAAACGATCGAAAGAGAAAACCAAAATATGCCGCCATTTATTCGTGTGTCCTTCGTTCTCTTCTATAATAAAAAGAAAAGGGGGAGAGAGGAGCAAAACGCACTCACGAAGAAGAGCCATCCCCCGCCTCCCCCGATCAAAAGCCTGTTCCGTACGTCGCCCCACTCCGAAAAAAAAAATGTGTTTTTTGTTGTTCTTTCCAATGTCCCTCTCTCTCTCTCTATGGTCAACGGAGGGTTTCTGCAAAGAAACATTTTGAAAGGCACACACACACGCAGATAAAAAAGACAATGAAAAGGCACGTTGCATCTGATCACCCTGTGATGAGGAAACCGAAAGGGCAGGTGCTCTCTCCTTCACCATAGCGCTTCGGCCGGCCACTGCAACGTGAAGAAGTAAGAAGAAGAATAATAATAAACCTGTGAAAGGATGTTCGGCTGCTCTGTCTTCATCTTTTTGTCCGTTTAAGAGCTGATAGTCTTCGAGAGAGAATTGTAGTACTTTGTGGAGTACTTGTCGAGGCCTGCAATGACGCGTTGCAGCGTCTTACTGCGCTGCTGCAGCAGATCACTGTAGACGTGGTTGTACCTCTGCGTCTCGGCGTCCAGCGTGATCTTCGCCTCATCGCGCTCTGCGACCTTCTTATTGAACTTCGGATTGTCAGAGATGCCTTGATTCTTCTTGGCCAGCTTCGTTTCCATCTCGCTCACCGCCGTGCGCCGCTTGTTGTACTTGGACGTCACCTCCTCGTACGTCGACCGCGACTTCTCCGCCTTCTTCACCGATTCTTTCAACTCGTCAATCGCCGCACTAATCTCTCGTGTGAAATCGTTCATGTAGGTCACAAACGTGTAGGTGTCCGCACCGGAGACGCTTAGGTTGGCGGAGGCGCGTTGCGACTTGCTGCCTCCGCGGTGATCGCCGCCCTGCCCCGCCATGTGTCGGTCCACCGAGGAGCAGAGTCGATCTGCCTTCTCGCGCAAATCGGGGCTTTCCTCGCCCTGCGCCAGCTCACGGATAGCGATCGCGATGCTCTCCATTGCCGTGTCGAGCTCCTTGACGGCGGCGAGGTACTTCTTGGAGGCGGTGTCGTACGTTGCACACGCGTGCTTCAGCTTCTTGATGAGCACGGAGTTCTCATCGGAGGGGTCGGACTTGGGCATGATGAATGATCACAATTCTCCTACTTTCATAGGGTGTGGGGGTTCTTTTTGTGTGTGTTTACTTACGGGTGCGGATGACGACAGATAAAGCAAGCTGGGTAATTATTATTTTTTTTTGCTATCCTGGAGATGCTCGACCTCGGAGAGAGTGTTGTGCCAAAGGGGAGAAACAAATATAGACATATATAAGATTAGAGGCGACAGAAGGAATTGCGTGAGTAAAGGAAGTGAATTCCGCGCTGCTTGTCTGCTTTCAATTGCCCAGAGGCATGGAAGTGACGCACAGCGCGCACGTAAGTCACTCGCTGAGGAGCAGCACCCTCGCTCACTCCCTCTCTCTTGATTGTCATCTTTTCTCCTCTTCTCCCTCCGCTGTCGCCGCTTCCACTGCGTCATTAAACAGAGTAAAAGGGAAGGTGGGGCGATAAGCGAGTCGACGAATTAAGGAAGAAAAGGAGAAGAAGATGGCGCAAGAGACAACAGATTTTAATAAGCATCCCTTGCATTCACTTTTAGCTCTTTTCTCTCTTTTGAATGATAAAGGCAATCAGGAAAATAGAAAACCAACCTTCAACACACGCGATCACAACCGGCGCCATACACTTCCAAATACATATATGTGTATCGATGTCCCTTGCGCTTTCTCTTGTTGTTCCTCCCTTGCCGTCGCGGAGAAGAAAAACGAGGATGAGCACGAACGAGCACCGCAGTGCCAGACAACGACGCTGAGTACAAAAAACGAACAGAGAAGAACAAAGAAGAATCGGAGATAGAACCAGAAAGAAGGACATCAGCGGCCGCGACAACACACTGCCTTCATTTTTGCGGATGCGCGTACAGCTACGCCACCACCCGGTTCGCACCGCCCTTAAACACATAAACAGAAGAAACGGAAAAAAAGATATCGTTCATAATGTGTAGACCGTCTCCGCGCGACACGATAAAACATTTTTTAAAGAAAAGATTGATCAACGCGCACCACACAGCGCCTTCACAACAAACGAAAGCGCCGTAAAGCAAAAATAGGTAAAGAAAGGTGTTCATCGCCGCATCCGCCGCAACTGTGAGAACACCTTTTTCTTTTATGGGAAAAAGAAAATGGAGAAAGAAGGAAAGAAGGAAAAAGAACGCACATCCTCCCTCAGTAAAGCACAAACGAACGCGCGTACTAACACCGACGTCTCTTCACAACAGATAGAGAGAGAGAGAGCTGTAGAACGACAGACAGATAGAGAATGAAGGATATAAGAGGGGGAGGGGGCCTGCGTAGGCGCGAGAAAGGGCGGAAACGGAGAAGCAAAAAAGACTACCATAAATAAATTAAAAAGCAGCCAGAATAAAAATAGAGAAGAGATTTAATGTGGCCATAGAAGATGCGGAAAAGGAAGAGAAAAAAAAAAGAAACTGAAACACGCACATACAAGGTAAGACAAACCACCATCATCACAAACCAAAAAAAAGCGCTAAAAAAGAAGGAAAGAAGAAGATCATCACGACCAACGCAGCTTAGAGAAGGGAACAAAACAAACAAATGTGCAAGCTTACTGCTTCATCGTGTGAAGCTTCTTAACGGTGTTCGTGAAAAACACAGATTTAGCATCCCAACTTGACATCGGGTGAAAAGGGCTTTTAAAAAAGAAAAAAGGAGAAAAGAAAAGAATGGGCAGCAGAGCTGTAAATGAAAACTCAGAAGAGAACAAAAACTATCTATCAAACCTCCTTTAAAAAGGAAAAGAAAACATGGAAATAGCCGTAACTCGGATCATCCACCTACACCGTCGCCTGAGAGTGCACCGGCACCGAATCGACCGCGAAATAGCAGAGCAGGAAAAGGAGGTAAAACAAACGGCAACACAAAGAGTAGCGAGAGCACCACAGTAGCAGGCTGTACAGTGCGGAAAAAAGAGGTGTTCCAACACTGCTAAATGCACAACGTTAAGAAAGACTGGAAACGAGCAACAGGCACAATGGATATGCCTCATACAAAGCGGCAGCAGAGAAGATGCAGCTTGCCCGCCTTCACTTTCCCCCCTCCCCTTTCCTTCCCTTCGCACATTACGCCGTTCCGTCGAGACAATGCCTCGCGCACACGCACACACAGGAAAGAAAAAAAAAGTATCTTTTCTCTAATTGGAAGGCTGTGCGGCGGCTTTCTTACTATTGTTGTTATTGCCTCCTCGATTGCTGCGCTGCCGACGTTTGTTGTTGCCACCACCACCACCGCCGCCGCCGCCGCTCTTCTCCCCGCTTCCTGTCTTGGCCGACGGCGAGGTTGCAGTGGAGACGGGAGACTTGTTCCCCGTTTGTCCACCACCCGTGTTGCCTACGACTGCCGGCGCCGCGCTGCTTGACGCGGTGGGCGAGGTATTCGTGTGATGGCTGTTTGCGTTGCCTGGGCCGCCCTTATTGGTATTATTATTATTATTCCCTTTGCTATTGTTGTTCGACTTCTGTGAATTGCCGGACCCTTTGGTGTTGTTGCCGCTACTACCGCTGCCGTTTGTCGTCGTGCTGGTCGGGGCGCCCGCCTCCGTCGGTGATCTCGCCGCCTCCTTCGCGCCCTGTGCACGAAGATTGATACCACTGCCGCTCCCCACAGCACCACCACTGTTTAGATTGCTGCTACTCGACGCATTCATCCCGTTCTTCGCCACTAAGCGGGCAAGGCTTCTGGTATTCGTATTATTCACGTTACTATTGTTATTATCCACGGTGCTTGGAGCGGCTCCCTTGCCGCCTGCGCCGCTGCTGCTGCTGCTGCCACCACCCCCTCCTCCACCACCACCCGTTGACGATGCCACATTCCCCTGCGCCAGCAACAAAATCGGCGAGACGGTAGTCGCCCGAGTGGGTGAGGTAGTCGTCGTCGTGCCCGACGCAGGCGGTGACTTGGACGTGGCGGATGGACCTTGCTCCTTCGCTAGCTTCGCCGCCAGGACGTTCCGAATGGTGACTGCCTCGCCTGATGCGAGGCGCGTCCGCAGCGGGGCAGCGTCGCTCGGCTTCGCGTTCAGCGCATCCGCCCGCGCTCGCGGCGGCGACCCCGCTGCCTCCGCCGGCCATTCAGCCCTGCCGTCGTGCCCGCAGACGAGCGGAATAAAGTAGGGGTGCCTCGGCGAGATGTCCAGCACCGGCATCGGCTGCTTCACCGCCTCCATCATTCCGGGCCTGCCAGGGGCGGGCACGACGGAGGCGAGAGACGTCGCCGTGGCCGCCTGCGTTAGCACGCCTGTCGCACCGCTGTACAGGTACTGATGCAGAAAGTAGGCGGTGAGGGTGAAGTCAGCGGCCACCATCAGCGTTACGAGCACGGGCAGGGGGCGGTGGGTTGACGGTGTGGTGCGCGACGGGGCCGGGGCAGCGGCGGCGGCGGCGGTTGACGTCTCTGCGCCGGTCGTGGTGGCCTGCATCAGCTGCGCCAGCTTGGCGCGGATGTTCGCCTCCTTGTTATTCTTATTCTGCCGCAGTGACAGCTCGATTTCGCGCTCGCCGTCGACGGTGGTGTGCAGCAGCTGGATAAACTCCGCCCACTCTTGCTCCGTCAGCGACTTCTGCGGGGGATAGTACTGAATGATGACATCCACGTCCATCACATCTAGCGCAGTGAACGCATCCCACGCGACGAGGGTGACCACCACGGGCGAGGCAGAGGGGGCAGCGTCGCCTGCGCCGCTGCTGGTGCTCGCCGCCCGTTCTGCTGCCTCGGAGCTGTTCAGGAACGATGAGTGGCATTGGTGCTGCGCAAGGACAGAATCCATGCGGCGAGTGGAGTAGACGAGATTCGGCGAGGCCTCCGTCACGGCCGGCGGGGTCGCACCGCTGGCATTGTTCGCTTTGCCGTTGGTGTTGCTGCTGCTAGAAGGGAACTCGCGACTCACGCCCCAGCTCGTGATGAGCGTGTTCAGCTGCGGCACCTCCTTGTTGTGCGTCAAGATCAGCACGCGGTGGTACAAGCCGCTGCGATCCGTCACGATGCGGCGCAGCTGCGCATCCTTGTCAGCGGTGCTCTGCGACAGGACAAGGCGGACGCCGAGCGACTCAGCCGGCGTGCTCAGCCCTTCCTGCGGCTGCGGCATCAACGACACCGCCGCGGCGCTGATGTACGTAGACGGCAGAAGTTGGTAGTAGCGGCGGCTGCGGCGACTGAGTAGGTGGCGCAGCGACGCCGGCAGCCGCGACACCGGGCCCCGGCAGATCCACAAGACGTGCGGCAGCAAGTGCGCCGCCGCACAGTAACGAGTGTGCTGCCGAGGCATGGCGGAGTGCAGGACGGCGTGGGCGTCGCGCCACTGCTGCAGCGCCTTTTCCGCGGAGGCGGTGCCGGCCGTCGTGGAGCGGCCAATCTCCTCGACGACCAGCGAGGTGATGTGCGGAAATACCCGCTTTGTACGCACGGCGGCGCTTTCCCTCTCCTTGTTCTCATTGCTGTCCTTGTTGCCTGCCTCTGCCTCGCCGCCATCTTCCGCGACGGCAACATCCACGCCGGTGTTCAGCAGCGTCACGAGGTTCCAGTTGAGGAAGCTGTGCGTCGTCGTGATGACGACGGAGGCGGCGTAGGGCCACTCCGTGCCTCTCTTCTTTACTTCGTCGTTTTTGCCGGCCTCCGCGTCCGTCTTGTCATCCTTTCCACCTGCGCCACCGGTGGCGGCGGAGGACGCGCCGGTAGGAGTACCAGCACCAGCAGAGCTGCCCGCCGCACTGACCGGCCGCACGATGAGCGAGGCAGGCGTCTTACTCCCAATTGCCATCGACACGTTCACACCGTAGTTGCACGCCTCGGCGAGAGCTCGGCACACCTTCAGCAGCTCCTCCGCGCTCGCCTCCGTCTCGGCAATGATCAGCGACACCTCCGGCGCCCAGTGGTTCGCATTCACCGGCAGCTGATGTACGCGGCCATCCGCCGCGGCGAGGACGTGGTGGCTGGCGTTGCCGACGCTGCTGTTGTACAACTGTGACGCCGTGAGCAGGCAGTGAAAGGAGTAGAGGGCCAGCAAGTTGCGGCACTCGTTGAGGGCTGCCTCCGTGTAGTACAGCGGTATAACGCCGTCGCTGTTCGCAGTCGTAGCTGTCGCGCCACTCGGCGACGGCGATGGCACGCCGCTGTTCGTGTTGTTGCCGCCGCCGCTACCAGAGGCGCCGCCCGCGGCGGACGTGGCGGCGATGGTGGACGGGCTCGTGTTGGATGAGTTCGCACCGGTGCCGCGCAGTGCCGCATTGTGATGCACCCACACCGCCGCCGCGCTGCCCACCTGACGGCTGCCTGTGGCGCAGCGCCCATCCACGATGACGTCGGAGAAGTCCGTTGCGGTTCGTCGCAGCACACGGACGAGGAGGGGGGTGGGGGCGATGAGGGACGCACCGCCGTTGCTGCCGGGGTTGCTGTTGTGTGCGGCAGCGGTGGCGGCTGCGGCGGACTGCAATGCGCTGGAGAGCTTCCGGTGCAGCGTGACGCCGGCCTCAGCGAAGGTACCCGCCTGATTCATTGCGGCCATCTAGCGTATGTGTGGATTTGTTTGTTCGCTTGCTTTTTTTTTTTTGAGGGGATTGCTTACTAAGTGCGGATGCCGTCCTCTTCTCCGTTGCGTCAACGTTCGCGAGAGGAAGACAAGCAACGAAGGGCGAAAACCCGAAGTAGATAAAACAAACAGTTGAAAGAACAAAAGAAGCACGTCAACAACAATAACAACAAAAACAACGGCGGAAAAAGGGGGAAAAAACGAAGCGCAGCACAGGAAAGAAAATATACAATAATAATTGGTTCGCGAAAACTCTTCCGCCTCAACAACAACAACAAAAAAGGGAGAGGAGAGAAAGAAAGGACGGCCCCCCACGTGTTTCCCTCTGGCTGATTCAAACCTACCCGCTCTCTCTCTCTAGCTCTTCCTCTCTTTTCGGCACCGAGGAAAGAAAACTGCCAAGACGGAAACCCGAAAAAAATCAGGAAGAGAAGATACAAAAAAACCCGATTAGCACAGTTCAAGAAACAAATATGCGTTGTGTCGCCGGTGGCTTTCGTTTCTTTCTTTCTTATTTTTCTTTTTTCTTTTGACTGAAGAAACACAAACACAACAGTTGAGAAAAAGCGGGTCGAAAGAGAAACGCTCTCTACTGCACGTGTCCAGAAAAATATTTCCTCGATAAAAACAAATCTAGGAAAAGAGAGAAAATTTTCAAAAGAAATCACCTTTATTAACTGCACCGCCTCCTTATTTATATCTCTCCTGTGTTTTGCTTTGCTTTGTTTTGTTTTGCGCGTGATTCGGCGGCACACCTTAGCGCCGCCCTTTGAACTGAACGACCCGTTCGTACAACTTAAAGGAAAAAGAAAAAAGGACAAGGCTCCTTCACCAAATTTAGAAATAAAGTGCGAAGCGTGAAGCGCCCGATCGGGGGAAGGGCAGGACCTGTAATTTAGAAGCTTTTCCTTTTCTTCTTCTCTCTTCACAATGGCAACGTCAATCCAGCTGCAACCGCAAGAGAGACAGCAGTAAAAGGGAAAGGGAAAAGAAACTGGCTGCTCTGATCAGCAGGTCAATCCTTTCTTGTGTGGGTGGGTGGGTGTTCGTTCTGCTGTTGCTTGCTTGGCACGTTTGTTTCGTTCTTTTGCGTTTTGCTTTCAGTGCAGCACAAAAAGAGCTGATGTGCCACTTCTCTTTTCCTGGGAATACAAAACCTGACAGATGAAGGAGAAATGTGGGCAGAGAAAAAAAAATGGTTTGCCCTTTTCTCTCGGTTCACAACGGAAAGCCGAAAAACGGAGAGCTGAAAGCGAACGTGAATGCAGTACGCTGACGCCAGAAGAAAAACAAAGAAGAGAAAGGCTTTCCTCCGAATCAAGGAGGCGCAGAAAAGTCCAATGCTTCGTTTCTTTCGCGGCTTTTGAGGAGTCGATCAGCGGCTGTTGTCGCTGTTGTTTTGGGGGAGGGAGGGGGGAGGAGGGTTAGAATAGCTGCCGCCGATGGTATCTTTGAACTTCGTACTGTACGCGACGTGAGAAAGAAGGGGGAAGGGGAGGGGCGTTGGTGACGGTACCTGCAGCAAACCACGCGAATACAAACACACACGCACACACGCGAAAGCACGGCTCTTAAACAAAAATGAAAAGGAAGAGCAAACCCCCCTGACCAGTCGTCCGTACGCAAGAGAGAAAGCGAAGCACGGGGCAAGAGAAAAGAAAAGAGACTTTGTTCGCTCCCACGACGGAGCAGCTCACACGAACTCTTGTTTTCTTCCTCTTCTCCTCTTTTTTTTTTAACGGCTTCTTCTTGACTTTGCTGCGAAAAAACGGTGATTCCTGTGTTTTCTCTCTTTCCTTTGCTGGCGCTACGCGAGGAGGTCGCCTACTGTGTTCGCCTCAACGGAGGAATAGAAGCGCAGACGAGCGCGAGGATGTTTCCTCCTCTCCTTTTTTTGTGGCGGGGGATGACCGTCGCGCGTGACGCCGGATGTACAGGAGAGATCAGTAGAAAACAATAATAATAAAAGAAATGGAATGGGGCTAAGAGGGTCGCGAGATCCACACGCAGTCCGTACGAGATCCTAACGTGCAGAGCTCAACAAGAGTAACCAAAAGCACACACACTGGCAAGAAGGCAGAGAGAGGGAGAGAAAACGACGATGCCCGAGGCTGGAAGGCAAGCCGAGTAAGATATATGTTTTTAAACTTTAAAAAACGATCAACAACCTAAGAACTACTAATCTGAGAGCGTAAGATTGTGCAGGTTCAGGTTGCATTACGCATCACCGTCGTTTCACAAGATCAGAAAAGAATTCAAGGAGACAATAAGGAAAGAGAAGGACAGCGAGAGATAATAAATAGATATATAGGTACATGTATGTACACGCATACATATGCACAGTAAAGAAATATTTTTGTTGGCTACGATACGTCTGTGAATGTTGGAGCATTCAAAGACATATCGGAGGTGCATGTATGAGTGTCGACATGTTTGCTGCGCTTCCTCTCTATCCGGAAGCCTGTGAGCCAAGTCAGCGACGGTCAGCTGCCGCAGCCGGATGGGCAATGCACAACACCAAGTACGTCTTGAACACCCACACACACACACACACACACATGAAGAAAAGTTTTCTTTTCATGAGGGAGAGGCCATCTTTTACCCTGGTTTTCCTTCACACAGGCTGCGCCTTGGCAACACTGGTCGTCCCTTGAAGAAAACATATATATGCTTTTCGAGACGGCAAGGGAGAGAAGCGGGTGCACTGCCGCCTTCAGCGCGTGCTGACCTCTTGACACCCCCTCTCGCCTTTCCTTTCGGGCTTTCAGCTCGACGAGCGTTTTACTTTTTATTTTCTTCGAATATATATTAGATCAAGATCACATCTGAATTGAGTTCTCTTCCATTTGATTTTTCTTTTCTTTTTTAAAGGGAACCGGGACCAAGCGGTCATTTCCTCTGCAGCTTTTGACTTCCCTGTCTTTTTTTCTTCTTCGCCGCGTTAACAAGCAACGAAGCCTGGAGGAAACCGGCTGAGTACGAATGCAGGCTAAAATAAACAAAAAAACATATATATATATGCATGTCACCTCTCCTATTTATGTTTCTTTCCTTTGAGAGAGGGGGGGAGTGATCATAAACGACAAAGCACATGCGCGTGCGATGAGCACCAAAAGCAATCACTCATGATAATAATAGTAATAATAATCAGAACTTCCATTTCTACAGGTTTGCTTGTGGTAGGCGGGTTCATGCAGCACGCACCCGCCTACCACAAGCAAACCGAGCCAAAAGAGGGCAAAAGAGAATTTCTACGGCGTTGTCACGAAAGCACGACTCTTCGCTGTTTCATCTTTTTCTTGTCTGGAAAGGAAACGACGACAGATCGGGCGGCACGAGAGAGAGAGAGAGAAAGAAAGAAAAGAAGAAAAAAGGAAGAGATGCCCACGCAGTGCCAACAACGAAGAAAGCCCCCAGAAAGATAGAAATATAAATATGTATTCGAGTCGCAAAGATGTGCATCTCGTAACGGCCCGCGTTTTCCGTTCGTCTCATGTTTGCTGATGATGTTGTCGTGCACCGCGTCGCGTTCGCGGGTGAGCTCCGATACGGCAGTCGCCTTTGACTTCAACGCCTCGTTGCTTGATGTTCACACCATCCCTTCCCCTTCTCTCGTACCACCACCACAACCCAGTCAGGTCGGGTATTCCCTCTTCCTCCCCTCTCAGGTTTCGGTTTTATCATCATCGCCCTTGCGTTTATCTACGGTGAAGACCCGAAGAGAAAAGTACAGAGGGAAGAGACAAACGGAAAAAGAGAAGAATGGGAAAGAGCGGGAGAGGCGGCGTGGCTTGTACTAATGCAGAGAGCACACCGAGACGAGAAACCAGAAAAATGAGCTGATCGTGAATACAAGTACAATCGAACGTACGCATGTGCGCACAAAAACTCCCACACAATCCCACACACATAAACTACGTATTGTGATGCCCCGGGAGGTGCCAACCCCGCACACAGCTGGTCAGTCGGAGCGCAAGAAAGAAGAGCCACCGTCCCACAGTACACCGCCGATCCACGTGAAGTGGACCGGCTTCCACGTCTACGAGAAACAAAAAGAAAAGAGGTAAAGGAAAGGGGGACATGGACGTGAAAGGTTCTGCTTTTCATCAGTTCGACCCCGTCAAGATTTCGAATCAATACACACAATATTCCGCAAAATAAACAAAGAGAGAGAAGAGGGCCCATCAACACATCACGCCTCCGCTGCAATTGTGAGAGCACAAATAAAAATAATAATAAAAATGAGAAGCGAGAAGATGAAATACATGGGAGGATACGAACATCTAGGAAAAAGAACAAACGCGCTCAACGGGTCGAATGAACGTCGTTGGAGGAAAACCCCCTAAAGTGTCTCTGTGCACAGTTCTCGACTGATAAGAATAAAACAAAAAAAACTACGCATCAACAACAAAAATAACTTCCGCGTTGACGAGTTCAAAAGATCAATAGCTACGTTTCTTGAGAGGTTACGCAAACCCGTGAACGCGAACGGCTGTTTCTTCGGACAACGGTGCGACAGACTCTGAAAGCAAAAGCGAGGCGACTGTACGGAGGGGACCTGTGCTCCCTGACACCAACGTGAGAGCCAATAAGTAAATAAATAACGTAAGAATCATTTGGAGAACCTTTTCTTTCTTTCTAGGCATGCATGAAATGAAAAAGACGCGCAAGACGCCCGTGAGGGCAAAACCTTTTTATTGTTGGAAGTCCATACCTCACTAAACCGTTTGTTTGTTTGTTTGTCTTCCCTCTCAACCCGCCACTTGTCTTTCACCATCTGGTGGCGTCACCGAAGTCCGTAGGTGGTACAAACGGCGTTGTACCTCCAGCTCGCCCTTCTGCGTTCGTGTGGTGCGGCAGCTACGCGTTGTCGAGCCTCTCCTGTGCGTCCTGCTTCGCGTTGTCGAATTTCTGATCGGCAGCGTTCTCCCACTCATGCACCTTGTTCTGCACATCCTGCTTAAATTCATCTTGCCTGTTCTTCGCAGATGTCTCCCACTCCTTCTTCTTACTGTCTACCTCCTGCTTCAGCTTCTGCTCTCCGTCGTTCTTCCACTCCTCGCGCTTTGCCTCGGCGTCCTTCTCAAACTGGTCCCTGTGCTGCTTCACCTTGTCCTTGATCTCCTCCGTCTCCTGACCGGACTTCTGCCACTCAGCGCGCTGCGCGTCGGCGTCCTTCTCAAACTGGTCCCTGTGCTGCTTCACCTTGTCCTTGATCTCCTCCGTCTCCTGACCGGACTTCTGCCACTCAGCGCGCTGCGCGTCGGCGTCCTTCTCAAACTGGTCCCTGTGCTGCTTCACCTTGTCCTTGATCTCCTTCTCCGTCTCCTGACCGGACTTCTGCCACTCAGCGCGCTGCGCGTCGGCGTCCTTCTCGAAGTCGTCCTTACCCTTGTCGACATCTTCCTTCGCCGATGCCTTGATGTTGGAGCAGGTGGAACCCATGATGCTGGAAAGAAATATTAAAAAAAAAAAGAACAGGCCGGGAGGTGGTCTCGTGTGAGGAAGATGTCTGCAAATACAGAATGTAGATTTGGCAGTGGCGCAATCGTTGGTGATTAAAACTCCTTTGTTGTTGCTGTTGCTGTTGTAAGCTGGAAGAGCGATGCTGCGAAAAGCTCGTCATGTGTTATTGTGATCCAAGACAATAATAGAAATAATACAAGAAGGAAGAAAGGGAAGCAGCAGAAAAGGAGAAGTAGAAAACACATATAAAAAGAATAGCATAAGTTTGCCCTACCCGACAGCAGTCGCTTTCTTCGCTTCCTTGAACATACGAGAGGGTACTCTTCTTTTTAAAAAAAATTACATGCCCAAACCCGCTTTCCCTCCTGTTGTACGATTGCAGCGCGCATCGTCGTGGTCAACCATGAGGGTCTTTTAATATTATCCTTCTCCCCTTTTTCTTTCGGTTTTGTTGTTGTCGGGGAGGAGGGGTCGAGCTGCTTCCGCGCATTTCTTTCGTCCGCCTTGCTTGGTTGTTTGCCTGTTTGCTTGTTTGCTTGTTTTTAGTTCGTTCCTTTTTTTTTGGAGGTTTGGCTGTGTTTTCTGTCGGCTCTCTTCGCATCTCCCCAGCGTGCCGTAGACGCGACGCGGCAAGGGGGGGGGGACTCACCAAGCGGTGATGTGTATGAAGAATGGCGAAGAGAACGGCTCGCATTCACGAAAGAGAAGAAAGAAGAGAACAATTTAGAAATATATATTAATAGTAATAACAGTAATAACAGTAATAAACGAGACGGAGAGAGAGAGAGAGAAAGGTTAAAATCACCATTGAAAGGGAATACGGAGGGATATAATGCCGCACAGACGCAAAAAATGGAGTACAGGTAAAAGGGAAAAAACAAAGAAAGGAAAGGAAAGGGGAAACAAAAAAAAGACGGCACAAACACACACACACATACATACACGCACACCCACTCCCTCTATCAGCCGCGTGCAGGCACGACATGTAGGGATGCACGTGTCATGGGAAAGAGAACAAAAACAAAAGAAAACGCTGATTTCGCGTCTGCATGTATATGGTTTGCGTGTGTGTGTGCTTGCTAGAAAACAGTTTTATTTTCCATGTATTGTAAACGTACGCTGTTTTTTTTCCTCATTCTTTTTTTTTCTTCCCCATTTGAATGGCGATTTGTTTGTTTGTGCGGGTGCATGTGTGTAGGGCGGGGGGCAGAGGCGTTCTGGTCCGCGACGGTCCTCCACCGTATAATGCGAGAAACCGCGGTTACGCCGCTCGTCATGCAGGACCCCCCCCCCCCACTGTTTACTGAGAAAAGAGAAAGGGAGAGAGAGAAAAACATATAAAACAAAAAAAAGAGAAGGAAATGAAAACGCTCGGTTGGGAGGGTGTTGAGACTTGTGTCCCGAGAAGGAGAGGAAAAAAAAGCAGCACGCTCGAAGTCACCTCAAAAAGAAAACTCTATGTAACCTGCTGCAGGAGCTGACAAAAAAGAAGAAGGGGAAAAGGCCTGCGGTCGTGTAACAGCAAAACGCGTGTGAGTACGGTCAGTCTTCTCTGGATCGTTTGTTTGTTTGGTGCTTCTTTTTCCCACGGCGGATGGGGCGGCGGTGGTGGCGAGCGGCGTTTGTTTTGTTGGGTTGGTTGGGCTTTTGGTTTTGTTGTTGTTTGTTTTTTTGCAGCGGCGGCCGGACGAGCGGTGTTGATTGGCGCCCTCTATCCCATCTTCTGGTGCCGCACAATGGTAATCCCCCCGCTCTTCGCTCCCACTGCTCCTGAAGGCCCCCGCCACCTCCTACGTCGTCGCTCTAACTCGCTTCGTCCGCTGCCTTCCTCTGCTGCTGGAGTTCTGCCTCCACCTTCTTCTCGTCCGCGTGGAGCTCCGCATCTTCCTTCTGCCTCTCCGCCTCCTCCTTCTTCTTCTCCGCCTCTTGCTTGTTATTCTCCGCCTTCTCCGCGTTCTTCTGATCGTCCTTCGCCCTGGACGACTTGTCAGAGAAGCAGTTTCCCATGATTAGCAGGCGAAAAGGATGGGGTGGGGTGGAGGGGGTATCAGACAAACACAAGAGGGAGAGGGATGAGTACGCGGACGCAGCAGAGAACGGCTTCCTGTATAGTATGAAGTCGAGCGACGGTGTGGGTCGAAGGATGTGGGGGGGAGAGAGGGGGATAGGGTGAAAGCGAAAGAACTGAAGATCTTTTATATTATTAAAGGTGACGAATATTTAGAAACAAAGAAAAGGGGTAAATAGTTGTTCCACGTGTTGATCGGAGTGAAGAGAGGAGGAGGGAGAGAAAAGGAGAGAAAAGGAGAGAAAAAGGACTACGTGAACGATGCTTAGCTGCAATGATGTTTACGCTGTAAGCCGCACACAACAAAACAGATCCAAAGCGCTACTTGCCGCAGAAAGCGCAATGGTACTCTACTCGACAGCCAGTCGCACGTGTCGCATAACAAAGCGCGCGTGGTTGATTCTAATCAAAGGAACCAAATGTTTTGCTATTGTTGTTATTGTTGTTTGGAAGCAGCAAAACTTTTACCTTTCGGTGTTCCCGTTTTCCTTCGTTCTGTCTTCCCTCTCCTGCCTTTCTTTCCTTTTTCCCCGAGTGCGCCGACCGCCAAAGTAGTCGAGAGAGTCAAACGGAGATGCGACGCAGTACACGCTCCAGGCAACAGCAATACTTATATACGTATATCTTTGTATGTACATCCACAAGGACACAACCGATAAAGAAATAAAAAATAGAAAATATCGGTCGAGCCTTCCAATAGGTATAGAGAGCTCTTAAAAATGACATCGATACATGTACACGCGCAATCCACAGGTAGTACGAACGTATTTGTCCAGACGCAGAGGGAGAAAACAAACAAAAAGCACTGAGTAAAGAAAGTCGCACATCCGAAACCAAGGTGAAAGGAGGAACGATTGAGAGAGCGGTCAATCGCGGTTGCTGTGGACGCAGTAGATCGCTTCCATGAATGTTCTCCCACGTGTTAAAGAGGAAAAGGGAGGGATAATGTAGCTTGAGTGTTTTATACATATGTGTGCAAAGACGAGCTGTTTTGTTTGCTTTGAGCAAAGCAAGTCACTGTATCCATGTAGCATGAGCCCGTGGCGGTGGTGGTGGTGGATGCCCCTCTTTTCTTCACGCAGTCAGCTCCCATGCTTGTCAGAAAAGGACCCAGTTTTGTACACCCTAGTGAAGTGCGGTCTAAAGAGGTGCATACGCGGTGTCACTCGCCCTGCTACGTCGACACCACCCCTCCATCAACTCCTTCAGCGCCGCCGCTTCGTCGACGTCGTTCCTCGTAGAAGAGGAAGACGCCTGCGTGTCTTTTCCCTTTGCACAGCCGCGCTCGTTTGGCGGGGCGGCGGTGACTGCAGCGCCGATGGCGTCCGAAGGAGAACGCACACTGGAAGAGGGGCGAGAAGCCTTCTTCGAGAGACGCTGCTGCTGTTGCGGCTGCTCGTCCGCATCCGGCTCTGCCGAAGAAGTCCGCTGCTGCGGTCGCCGTCGCAGTCGCTGCGGAGTTGATCGAGATAACTGCGGCTGTGGCGCCGGCGTCCACGGCGCGGAGGCGCAGACCTCCGCTTTCTCTTCCCCGCCGCTTCCTCTCCGCCTACCTTCCTCCGCCTCATAGGAGCGCGTCGAAGGGGCCGACCGTCCTCTGCTGCTGCTGTAGTTACTCGTGGCAGTACCACAACCACTGTGGTAGCGGCCCTGCACCGCGTGCCGCCAGAGCTGCGTGACGCCCCCCTCCTCTTCAGCCGTGACGCGACGCACATCGCTCACGTTGCGACCGCGACTCTTCTTTCTGTCGGCGTCGACGCCGCCACCGCCGTCATCCTCGTCCCCCTCCACCACCGCCCCCTGATCGCGAAGGCTGCAGAGCTGCTTCGCTGTGGTGTCGGTGCCGGCGGTCGACACGTTCAGGATGGCGATTCGGCCCGGCGAGGTGTTTTGCGGCGATGGACACAGCTCCCGCTGCGCCGACGGGCCCTTCCCTCCGCGGCTGGTGCTGCTGCTATTATCGTTGTTGGAACGTCCGCGCAGCTGCTGGTCCGCCCCGTAGTGCAGAAGAGGGATGTCCGTCGCGGAGAGGGGCTGCCAGTCCGGCCGACGCAGGCGGCGACCAGAGCCGGCGGCGTCACCTGCGTCGTGCAGCAGCACACCGTTGAAGCTCGTCGCGAACCCGGCAGGCTGCAGCGATGACGGGGCCGTGCGGGCGTACTCGGCGAGGGGGGGTGGGGGGTAGGGCCGACCACACACCAGCGGCGGCGCCACACCGTAGTTCCTCCGTTTTTTCCCCGCGCCGTCGCGCGACCGGCCCTCCAGCAGCCGTGCCCCGGCGTACTCTTCCGCCGGCCTGAACTTCGACAACTGCACGAGACGCTTTTGGTGTACCGTGTGGTGCCACGCGTCGAGCTCCTTCGCCGTCCGCACGTGCGGTGGGACGCGAATTAAGTGCTCCAGCAGCCTCTTGTTTTCCTCCGCTAGCACACGCTGCCTGCGCTCGCGGTGTTTTGTGCGGTGCACCGTCTGCTGCTCGATGTTGTCGAAGCTCTTCACTTGGTTTGCAGTGGGCACCAGGTTCATGTGCCGTACCCGACGTGCGTCGTCGTCGGAGGCGAGGACGAGGTGGCGGTACACTGTTCTGTTTTGCTCGTGCACCTTCGCGTCATCGTGCCGCACCTGTTGGGCATAGCGATGGGCAAAGAGTTCTCGGTAGGCGTCTGCGGGGCTGTCAGGGCTTTGGAAGTCGACCTCCGGCAGATCTTGAATGGTGTGGCTCGGGTTGAAGCGAATGTCGGCGAGCTGCTGCAGATGCCAGAGATGCGCCACGCCAGCTTCTTTCTCGGAGGCGGCGTAGTACGAGTCGCGGATGCGTTGCCGCCCCTGGGGGGAGGTGAACACGCCGGTGCGAGGCATGAAGTATGCGCTAATGGACTTCGTAGAACAGAAGGAAAACAGCTTCTTCTTGTCGTTGTTTCTTTCTATTAGCCGGGTGGATCAAAACAAATGAATGTATAGTGAGAGAAATGCTTGCTTTTTGGAGGGCGCGTGAGAGGAAAGACGATAGTACATTTACGCGTGTGAAAGCGAGACAACGATCGCTTCGAACTTTTATTAAGCACGGCTTAAAAAAGATAAGATAATGAATTACTTGTTTGCAATGATGTTGTCGCTATACATATGCATATCGTTGATGCAAGTCCAGCTCGACCTGTTGCGTCGTTGCTGCCTCGTGAACAAGGAAAGAGGGAAGGAAGTGGGTTCGCTCCGTAAAAGGAATCGGCTCTTTTTGGGCAATCAACAACACGTGAGGACAAAGGAAAAATAACAAAAGGATGCGCGTTGAAACCAGAGAGGTGGACAATTATTTTTTTTTGGTGGTGATGGCGGCCCTCACCGAGGACAACGAGTAAAACAAAAGAACTCTTTGATGACGCCTCCTTGCTGCGGTTCCTTCTCCGCCTTGATGCTGCGACATGACCGCTTATCCCACGCACCTTCCTTTACGCTTTGGGAGGGGAGGGGGGGATCGAGGGTGATGAAGTGAACGTATTTGGAGGTTGCTTGTCTTCTTCTTCCTTTTCCGGGGCGACTAAACGATAGCAGTAGAACTCCCACACCAGGGAAGAAAGAGAAAAAGAGTTATTGCAATAACAGTCCCAAAGCAGCACGCGCGAAAACGCTGACGCCCTACCATGACACCCTGTCCAGTAGGTGAAGTGAAGCCACAACCTCGGTCCTCACGCCTTCCAAACTCGACGCAGCACCGTGCGTGGTAGGTGACAACGAGGTCGTTGCGGCGTCCAGCAGCGCCCGTCGCAGCCACGCCGCGTGCACCGCATCCACCTCCACGCACACAACCCACGAAGTGTGAAGGCGCAGCGCCGGCCACGACGGCTCCGCAGATGTCGCCGCCGCGGGAAGTGCGTCCAACTTACAGGGAGGAAAGGAGTAACTGACCACAATGTGTTCCCGTGCAAGTGCGGCTCCTCTGAATTGCTTACAGAAAGGACTGAACGCGCAAAGTGGCGAGGTCGAGGAACCGTCGTTGGGTGGAACGGCTTTGGACACGCGCGCACGAAGCTGCTGAGTAGCTCTGACGCTTGCCTGAAGGACGTCCCACTCTCCGTCCGACATCCCGCAAAGCGGATCCGCAGTGCGGAGACGTCCTCCATAGAACACGGACGAGGGGCAACACGGAGCCGGCGGAACATCCACGCCGTTGACGGCGTCTTGAGAGCCGTGGGTACGCGTGTGTGATGCCTTCCCGCGCCCGTCATCGTCATTGCGACGGCTGTGGCGGTGACATTGCCACGCCGCTTTCAGCATCGCGACGGTCGTGTGTGACGTCTTTGGCCCAGTGAAGTTGCTTCCCTCCTGCCTGTCCGGCGGCCGCAGAGCCTTTTGCTCAGCGGAAAAGGCGGCGTGGGGGATGGAGGGTGCGCTCCGTGACACGTACTCCCAGACAGTGCACTGCATTGGCGCATCGGCTTCGCCCACTCCAGCGTGGCCGTCATCCCTTGCCGCAAGAGGCGCCGGCAGATTGGGGAGCAAAGGACTGTTCGCTGCGATCGCCGTCGCTGGACTTGCGGTCGTGATGTCGGCGGACACGGACGCGTGTTGCACGCAGTAGAGCTGTGAAAGCAGCGAAGCAACGCGGGCGTCGGCGAGGACTGCGTGGCGCTTGTCTGTGATAGACGATGGCGGTGTCGTGCCTTTCGCGGTGGCGGCCACCGACCACTCCTGCAGCTGCTCGCGCAACGTCCGTGGGGCTTTCTGCGGCGTCTTGCCCGTCAACATACCCGTCTGTTGTCTCTTGGCGGGGGCAGCGTTTGAAAGCGTGGAAGATTTCGTATGACCCGTCACCGCTGCATCAACCCGCGCATCCTCGATGCGGTGGTGCACTTGCTCCCCCGCAGCGTTTGCGTTCTCTTGCGCTGGCGTCTGCAGAAAGATGGTCGCCGCATACCCCGCTGCCACCACTCGAAGAGGCACCGGCAAGTCAAACGAGAAGGCGGCCGACAACGACGGCGACGGCGACAACGCAGCTGGCATGCAATGACGCCGATGATCTCTTTTTGTTTCCACATTCATCACAGTTACCGCCTCTGCGCAATTCTCCTGTTGCCCGTCCTTCTTACTCTCCCTCACGATGGATGGCGATGGTGACGCTGACGAAATGGGAGGCAAAGGTGAAGATCCGCTGCGTTGTACAGCTGTACCAGTGAGAGAACGCGTGGCTGAATGGAGCCCGGGTGGAGGTGCAGCTGCCGCTAAAGCTGCTACAACGTGGGTGTTCAACAAGACGCTTAACCGCTTCTCGAGGGCGCTGCTTTGCTGCCGCAGCGTGTCGTGAATGGTGTCCTTCCACCGCTGCACATCACGCGCCGCGGTGTCCTGTGAACGGCCGATCGAAGCCGCATCTTCTCCTCTCTCCTCACGCGGCGAGTTGTTGCTCCTATGTGCAGAGGCGGAAGAGGTGCGCGATGAAGGACGGGGGGGCACGTCGGAACGTCCCCGACGCCACCAGCGCTTCTTGCTAGACTCTGAAGCGTGAAGCGACGACGGCGGCGTTGGCAGGAGTCCCATCTCCTCTCCTGTGCTCGAACATGTTCGCTGCGGCGCGGAAGGAACGGTGCTACCGCCAGCCGTGTTCGCGTGACAAGGCGAAGATCGTCCCGCGGCGTTTGGGTGTTGTGAAGGGACGGCGCGATCGGAGAGAGGGTTCGGGGAGCCGGCAGCAACAGCAGTAATGATCGAAGTGGGAAGCCGTGAGTAGGATTCTTGATGGGGTGATGCATTCGTCGTGGCGGGCGGACCCTTAATGTGGCGGTTCCCGGCTTCTTGGGCCTGCCGGAGCTGAACGAAGAGGCACCGCGCTGTGTTGTACGCGTCCACCTCCGGGTCCGACATGGGCTTTTTGTGTGAGTTCAGTTGCTGTTGCGAAGGAGGTGCGTTAACAGAATAAATAGCAGGTTGCTACAAGCATATGCACATATGTGCAGTGAAGTCAGCGCAGCTGATCTTAAACGGTTGTTGCTGGTTTTTTATGACGTGAAAGACTCTACTGTCATTATACATGTCTGTCTGTCTGTCGGTTGCAGTTCAGCGTTGACAGGAGCGAACCGCTCAGCGAAGGTAGGAAAGGTGTCGGCAGCAACAGTAGATGGAAGAAGGATAGAAGTGTTTGCATGTATTTTGACATTGTATAGGGACGGCAAAGACGCCGTCCCATGATTTGAGCTACCGATGGGGGCGTGCGAAGCGCCCACACGTACCAGCATGGCGCGATGCATAAACCTCCGTTGTTCTACTAGGAAAGATCCACATGTGTTGACGCGCGCGTCAATCTTCGCTGCTGCGTACGCATTTTCAAAGCAAAAAAAAAAGAATTCGATCTTTTTGATGTTGTTAGCGTTGGGATTGCCTCACAGACGCTTACAGATATGACTCGTGCACCTCCTCCACGCCACCACTCGGAGAGACCACAGCGTGCACCGGCTGATCGTGCTCGTCGACCGGAATAACCAGCGGCAACTCCGCCGCTGCTGCTGCTGCTACCGACGGCGCACCTTTCAGCAAATCCGACGAGCCCCCACGCACCACCTGCGCGTCGAACGCCACTGCCACCACCTCCCACCGGGGGTGTCGCTGTTCTGCGTGTCCGCGGTGCGCCGCGTCAGGCAAGGCGACGTCAGTGCTCTGCTCAGACTCGTGGGATTGCGAATGTTGGGCCGTCGCACCAACCGCCTCGCACTGGGCTGCGGTCGGGTGTTCTGTAGAAGATGGGCGCGTACCCAAATGATGTCGGGCGTGGTAGCCGAGAAAGCGGTCGTAGTACCCGCAACCTTTACCCATACGCCGCCCCGTCTGCACGTCGAACAGCACACCAGGCACCAGAACGAGCATCGAGACATCATCCAAGTGCAGCGGTGCTCCTCCGCTACCGCTATCCAGCTCTCGTTGCACACCCGGTACCGACGCTTGAACGGAAGAAGCAGTCGCGTGGGTACGTCTCGTTGCCGTGGCGCACTCACTAGCGTACTCCAGTAGGCCCGCTGGTCGATAGCCCGCCGCGTGCGCCGCGGGGAAGAGCTTGGCGTAGCTGTCGCACAGCACTACGTGCCGCAGCCGTCCGTCCTTCTTTAGAATTCCTTTATCATCTTTTGCCGCTTCGCAGTCGCGCGCATGCTCCGTTTGCCCTATCGACTGCATCCTTGTCGTGGGTGTGGTGTCCCTCCCGCGTCCCGTCAACCAACGCATCAGCAAGGCGCTCGAGAACTCACGTATGTTGAACCTGCCTTGTGGCGCGAAGGCAGACTCGAGATCCGCCGCATCCATCACCTCTACAAAAGCCATTGCACGGCTGAGTGGCTCTGCAAAGGGGGCAGAGGGATCTTCTGGTCTTTCAGGGTGCGCCGCCGCGCCGCAAGATGCACGTGAGGGGGGCGAAGGAAGGACGACTGGTGCCAGGATGTGAAGCTGCTGCTCTTGTGTCATTGGCCAGAGTCGCCGCATCAGCTGCACCAAGTCTGCTTCATAATACAGCGGCAGGTAGGCAAAAATGAACAAAGGAATCGTGGGTGCCTGCACATCGCTGGTAGGGCGGTGAGGTAGCGGATGCGCCAAGGGTCGGTAACGAGCTTGGATGTAGTTGCCTAGATGCTCGCACAATTCCTGGGAAGCGGCGTGAAGCTGCGCAGGCTCCGCCGTAGCCCACGCGCGCAGCCGCTTCAGGTGCTCCTTGCGAAGGGCTTTCTTCAGTTGCGCGACAGACATCACTTCCATTGCGCGTGCATGAAGAGTTCGAGAGCGAGCATGAAAAAACATTTACAGAAAGAAAAAAAAGGTGCAGACGCCGAGGTCGAACCCTCTCGTCTTCTTCAGAGACGTGTGTGTGTGTCTGCGTGTCTGTGTGTGTGTATATGCAAAGGAACCAAAGCGGAAGGAAGAGAGATCCGGGTGAACACGGCAGATTCCTTGAGCCTCATTGCTATAGGCGAGTCCTCCTGCCACTTCCCGGCAACACGACGAGTGCAGGGCTCCGCGTGCGACAAAACCAAAAAAAAACACCTTTCGTAGATCTCTTTCTTTGTAATCTCGCGCAATGAAGAGGCGGATTCACCTGCCAAGCCGCGCCTTGCAAGTCATTTCGCATAGCACGCGCTGCTACGTATCAGCTTCGCTCCGTTTCTATTATTATTTTTGATCATTTACTATCTTCCCTTTTCTCTTTTGCGTCAAAATGGAGTGTGAGAAGCAGCGATGTCGGTGGAAAGCAACATGCGCTAGCAGTAGTCAACGTAACCGCTAACAGGAGACGCTCAGCACCGCCTGATTGGGCACATAAAAACAAAAAAGCAGACGAAAAAAATAGATCAGAAACGCCGCCATAGCGTTCCGACGATCCTTGCACTCCGCATTCAGTGCTGTGTTCTTCTTCTTACCACCACCACGAAGTATTGCCTTGCGGAAACACAATTCTGTGCTCGCCAGTTTTATTTCTTTCTGGAAGCAGCAGCAGCAGCGGCAGCGGCAGCGTACTTGATGAAGAGAGGTCGCAGCGCATCCGTTTCTGCCTTCATCGTAGCCGGTGTGCGCGGCGGGCGGCGTTGCTGCTCCAACTCGTCCGTCTCCGGCTCCCCCGCGAGCTTCCCTTGCGGATCGAATGGAATGACATGGACGTGCAAATGCGCCACCGTCTGACCCGCCAACGCGCCTTGCTGCACCGCCACGCTGTAGTTACCCAGCAGCGGAGCTGACACCGATGCCTCCCCATGCGCGGAAGAGTGCTGCTGCTGCTCCAGACGTAGCTCCTCAAGTACGTCGATGGTGCAGCGCATAACGTGGCCCCAGTCCTCCACCTCCGCCTCTGTCAGGCCGTGAACAGTCCCCACACAGCGGATAGGCACCACCATGAGATGATTCGGCACAATAGGCTTCAAATTCACCATCACGCAGAAGTGCGCGGAGCAGTACGGGACGCTGACAGCGACGGGGACCGGGTGTGGGAAAAACGTGAAGGTGTAGGGTGCAAGAGGCGAAGGCGGAGCGGAGGCGGTAGCAGTCGCAGCAGGAACAGGAACGCTTTGGAATGCGCCCATCGCGGCGGCAGCGTAAGCGCGAAGCTGCTCAACGTTGGCGGTTGATTTTGCTGCCGCGTCGGCATTGGTGGAGAGAGGGTCGAGAGCACGTTTCTGTGCCGCCGTCGCCGCCGCGCGGGCGGTGTCCTCGGCGTCCAGCAGCTCAGCTGCGATGTCTTGGGGAGACTGAGGAGCCTGCTGTTGCATGGCAGTAACGAGTTGGGAGAAGACTGCCATGGAAGACAACGACGCGTCCGTGTCCTGCGGCGGTCTCCCCTCCACGGAATCAGCAGGAAGCAAGTGGAAGCTCTGCAGTTCGTGATAAATCATGTTATTAGGGGTGAAGTCTCCCGCAACGCGCTCCACGATGTGCATGTAGGCGTGATTTTGAAAGGTGGGCGCCGCCCTTGTAGAAGACGCGTCTGGGTGATGTGCACCACGGTGACGGCACAGGGAGCCCGCAGTGTCTCCTGGCGAGGAGAAGTTGAAGGAGGCAGTAGGATGGGTCAATCGACGACACATACGGAGAAGGGCCGACCAATCCGCCGGCAGAAGCGAAGTGAAACGGAATGGTGGCAGTGGCGATGCATCCGATGCGGCAGGTGCTCGGGTGCTGTGTTGGAAGGCCTGGCAACTAGCGCACGCGTTCACGGTGGAGACAACGTAATGAACTCCTTTCGCGGTGACGGCGATGTCGGTCGGCACTTTGGTAGCCCGCATTGTATTTTTGTTTTCCTTTATTTGCGCTTGTGTATACTATTTTGTGTGTCTTTTGGGGAGTGTGGTATTGTGCGGCTGATTAGACGATAGGTGGGTGCTACAACGCTGCGTGTGTATTTCCTCTGTCGCGCTGTGCTGGTGAAACGACCGTGAGAGAAGTCCTTTTAGGCAGAGAAGCATCTTTTGAAGCCGCACCGGAGTTGTCCCGGAGAGAGAGAGGGAGAGAGGGGAAGAGCTTGGGGTGCGTGAGACGAAGAAATGTTAAACAATAAAACGAAGATTCATTACAGCACTTTATCGACCTTATTTTTTTTTTTTTGGGGGGGGGGTCTTTGTTTCGCTTTTCTCTTCGTCGGTGCACCACCGGGAGGCGGACAACGATCTTGCGGCGCACGCACCCCACGTTGCACGTGCCAGCACCACGAGGACGGCGTCGAGAGGAGACAAAGAAAACTCGTAAATTCGAAGCAGCTCTTTCGTCGCCGCAGCCTCAAATCCTGCGCTGTTTCTCCTCTTTCTTCTCGGTCTTTCGTCAACTATCTTCTTTTGTGGAAACTGGAGACGGTGCGCAACGGCAAACGTAGCATTCTCACCTTTCTGTTTTAAGCAGCACCAGAAGAAGAAGAAAAATGCACGTTACATGCATCTTTCTCTCTCTCTTGACCTTTTCTTCTTTCAATGCGTTGAAGCAGCGGCACCGTGCGCTACGCGTGCGTCCCTCGCAGCCGTCAGTCGCTCCACGAGCGCCGCAAACTGATCCGGGCTCAGCATGTAGTTCGATCGGTCAGCTATCGCAGGAGGGATGAGCACCATAATAAAAGCAAAGGGCGGTGCGACATTGAAGTGGATGGCGTCGTGTAACGCGCGGGCGTCGAACTCGCTTTCCGGTGCCTGCCTGGCGGGCCCCCCCGCGCGACCCCTACCACGGCTACCACGGCCACCACGGCCCCTTCCAGTGGCGCTCTTCGAGTTCCAAAAGGCAATCGTGCTCTCCACCCACCGCCACGCCTGCCGCGCCGCGTGTGCAGCAGCTTTGGCGGCGTGTTCACTCGTCTCCCCCTGGTAGAACGCGGTGGTGTGATCTAACGGGTAGCAGGCCTCGCGGAGGAGGCGATAGGGGCTGGCACGTAGATGGGAGGTCAACAGCAAATGACGCGGGTCGGCTTCTGCGGCAGACGGCGGTTGGCTACGTGCCGCGACCGCGCCAAACCGATAGGTCACTACCGGCTGTGGGGAGTGGCACGCGCTTCCGAGAGTCGGCGGGCCGGCGGGTGCATTTTCGCTTGCCTCCACGTCGAACGTCACGACTCCCACCCGCCCCACCGCCGAACCACCGCCGCCGCTACCGTTCTCGGTGCCGTACAGCACTTCCTCCAGCACTCGAATCCCTTCGAATAGCCGACCACCCTGCTCCACACGATCCTCGTAGTAGAACACGCGTGATGGGCGATGATGCTGAATGATCTTGAAGAAGTTATTCAGTTTGTACTTCACCGTCCCGGCGGTCTCGTGCGGCTTTACGATGACGTCCTCCACCTCGGTATCGAGTCCGACGTGCTGCAACAACGTCCAAATACGGTCCGCGTACTTCACGTCACGGCCAGTGAGGACGTAGAAAAGCGGTGTATCTGCCGCCGTCGCGTGCGGGTCGTGCAGCGCAGCGTTTCGACGCCCCACCAGCGCCCGCATGTGCGTAAGGATCGGCATTACAAACCAAACCGAAGGGTCTGGTGCCGCAGGCACAAAAGGAGGAGACATGGTGCAGAGGCTCTGAAACCACCCGTAACCGCCAGCGTCGACGGGGTTGATCAGGCTGCCGTACAGCCTGTCCGCCTCCCTCTCCCTCTCCTTCGCCTCGCGCACGCTGGGCGTCCCAGCCGCCGTGGAGGCATCATCACCGGCAGCTGTCGCTCCCTCCAATGATGTTTGACGCGCGAGTGAGGCCACCGCTGCGCGCGTGGGGGCCGGTGAGTAGAAAAGGGTCCCATCAAAGTCAAAGATGTGAATCTCAGCCATTACGGTTATACAGGTATCAAAAAGTGTGCGTGGTACGAAAAAATAAGGGTTCAGCAAAGCACTGCCATCACACACAGAGGCGCAGCTGATCTGTCCCTCTCGATCTCCCTCTTCCTCGATTTCGCAAACCCGGGCGAGGAATAAAATATGAAATGACCGCCAGCAACAACGAAGAAAAAACTGCTGAATGCGAAACACTCAAGAAGTCAGAGAGGGAAGACTGACCTGCGCGGCACGGGGCACGCACACAGCCTGCACAGCTCTTCTACTTGTGAGGCGAATACTCACGTTTTGAGGGATGGGTGAAGTGGCGCGTAGAAAGAAGGCGCGTCCGCTTTCGAAGGAGGCTTTGTGCTCGTGCAACGCGGAAACGTTCACACGCAGCGGAGGGAGGGCGAAGAACGCGAGAGCGCAGCAGGCAGACGAGGAAAAGATGGAGGGTTGAGTACTACAAAAACAAAAACGAAGATGACAGGCAGAAGCTACTCTCCGCCAATATGCTGCGACAGCGCGACAGCGTCGACAGACAAAGAGATGCAACACGCGTCGATTCGAGACGAGAGACCTCCGTCGGCACGCACGGTAGAGAAAGCACGCCAACTGCCCATAGCCGCAGCAGAGAGAAGTAGAGGGGCCAGGGCAGCCGCTCGCAGGCGGCGCTCCTCAACGCAAAGGTCGAGGTTGGAATTACTCGCTGCATTGTACCGCTATTTTTTGTCACACAACAAGCACGGCAATCAGCAATTGTTTATGCACAACACAAGCCACGCCGTGCACCGCAGGGGCCATCATTCGCCATGTGATGCCTTGATTACGGCTTGTGCCGAAGAATGAACTCACTTCGAAAGAGACGTTAACGCTTCAACAATATTTAGAAGCTTAGAAAAACTCTAGTCGACTACTCTCAGATCAGGAAGGAAGGAAGAAGAAAGGAGAAAGGAGAAAGATCAGTAAAGTGCAAAACAGTGTCGTTACATCCCTGTATCGTTTTCATTTTCCTTTAAGGGTAGAAGGCGTTATTTTCTTTTGATATTTATTTTTGAACCAATTAGAACTTTACGAAAGGGAGTTTCTTGCAGACTCAGATCGTCTGCATTTCCACCTCTCCCTTTCGGGTTGGAAAAGGGGCGGGACGGTGGGAAAAAAGAAAACAGCCTTTCCTGGAGAGAGGTCGACTGGAGGGGAGAGAAAGAGAAAGGGATAGTAGTACAACATGAAGCTTTCGATTCATCTCCCGGCGATTTTTTCCTGGCGCAAGCTCTCAGAAAACAAACAACAGTAAAAGAAGAATTAATGCTCCGTATTGAAACGCAAAGGAGACAAAGATGGAGCACAGCTGCGGCAGTTGAGGCGTGTGCGGCGCCGGAGTGGCAGAAGGAAATGAAAATGGGCTGCGTTACTAGCAGACACTCTAAGCAACACGGCCCGCACTCGGCCCGCCATGGTTTCTCTTTGGCATCCCGGTTTCAACGAGCGTTTGTCTTACATTCACAGGTCAGAGCATGAAACAGAAAATAATATATTGAGAATAACGTGTGGAACACTTGACTCCGTTAAACTGAGAAAAAAGGTAGTGGGTGGGACAACCATTCTCCTGCTGAGGTTATCAAAGCACCGGGCGATGTGCACCCCAAAAGCAGTTGGGCTTTAGAATTTACCATTGACTCACCAGATGAGAAAGAAGAGGCGACGAAGAACTCGTCCAGAAAAAAAAAGAGAAAGGGCATTGTTATGGCGAGTGGGTGTGTGCTGGTGCGTGTGGTGATGTGCGACAGCTGGTGAACTACTCCGCTGCAACGACGCGCACACACGCTTGCACCCTATCAGGAGAAGCATCTAGCAGAGCGGGAAAGAGAGAGACACCGCAACGCAGATTCATGCGCAGCAATTCACAGTAACCACACAGGATGATATTTTACATGCAACGACGTTTCAAAGGCTGCATGAGACACCGTGGTATGGGTACGCGCGGCGCAAAACAAAAGAAAACCCATAACAACACAGGACAGCAGCACGCAGCAACAGTCGCCGAAAATAAGAAAACAAAATGAGAAAAAATAAAATAAAAGACTCAAACTTGTGAGTCAATTAACTTTACTACTAGAAAGCGTTGTAGATATACACAGATAAACGGTTACCTTTGGAAAATAAAAACAGTTACTTTAGACAACGGCTCGCGTTCTGTGTCTCCCGCCCTCGCTCGACTCCAACGGTTGACACCAACGCAGCCGTTGTTGGGTTTCGTGGCGAAACAAAATCTTTTTCCTTTTCCTCCCTGCACGTGCGTCACGCATCGCTAAACGATGAAAACGCGCAAGCTTCCGCATCCAACCTTACAGCAGCAATCGACGCAGACATGGATCGCGTCAGCGCATCGGTGGCAGGAAACCACGCAGGAGAAAGAAAAAAGAGGCAGAACGCTCGTTCACACACATCCACCCATGCCGAGGGAAAACACATGAAAGAGGGGAACAACACAGTGAACGTAGAAACGAAACGGGCAGCTGATGGTGGTCGTGGCGCGTACGGAGCGTTGACGAGCATCGCAGCAGTGGCGCTCGGTCAAAAACAAAGCCCGGCCTTACCTACACGGCAGCGGTAGTACCGCTCGCAGAGCGGACTGCTGTCGGACGCGACGCACACGGCGCGTGGCACTCACACGTTGTGAAAAGCATTTAGGAGTTATTCTCGCCACAACGAATAGGACACCGGCTGTTGTTTACAAAGGATCCTGTGTACTTTCACTCTGCGCATGCGATGACACCAGGGTGCCACCGTGCCATTCTCCTTGCAGGAGAAGAAAATGAACTAGAGCGAGGCGGAACACATCCACAGCGCGGCGGAGAAAAGCAGCGCGGACCACAGGTGGCCACCCGCCGTCAAAGAGACGCGCACAGCACCGTCCCCGCGCGCACATTGCGAGTTGGCTGTCAGTTGGTAGCTTTGCGAGCATTCACCGCAGAGCGTGGTGTTGCCCGCCTGGCACTGGACGCAATACAAGACCTCACACCCCGCCTCGTGAGAGTTACGGCTGCTGCTGTCCACGGCCTCGCCGTTGCTCGAGGCAGGCGAAGGCGCCGGAGGCGTCGTGATGGGGGTCATTCTCGTCTCATTGCACACGTTCGCGGTTGCGCAGTCCGACGCGGTCACCGCAGGGTCCACGTTCACCGTCAATGAAGGGTCGGTCTTCCATTTCTCCGGAAAGCAGCCGCAGAGGCTGTTGCCGGTCAGGTCCACCGTGAAGGAATTGTCACCTCCCTCCCAACCTTCAGGGACTGAGCCAACAAAGAAATTCTTCGACAGATCTATGCGCAGCTCCACGTATGGCTTCCAAACTGGGGGGAGCGCGTCTGACAGCTCATTGTGGCTTAGGTTAACCTCACTCAGCTGTGGCATACTGGTCCACGACTCAGGCAGTATGCCCGTCAACGCGTTGTCCTGAAGGAACAAAGATGACAGCCTCGCCATGCCGCCCCAACCTGCAGGCAATGAGCCCGAACAATGATTTTTGTCGAGCCGGAGTGTGGACAACAGCGAAATGCTGTTCCATGCATCAGGTAAGCTGCCGGTCAACGCGTTGCCGGTCAGGTACAGATTCTGAAGGTCCTTCATTCCGTCCCACTAAACAGGCAGACTGCCGTTAAAGTTGTTGTTGGAAAGGTCCAGATGCGTAAGCTGCGTTAACTTGCGCCAGTTTCTCTTCAGAGAGCCCTCAAGACGATTGTCCTGCAACTCGAGCTCGACGAGCGCCGACATGGGGCCCCAGCTCGCGGGCAGCGTGCCCGCAACGTTCGCGCCCATGTCATTTACGAAGATAGTGCCGAAGATGACAAGCGAGCCATCCACATCGTCACCCACGTCAGGCAAGACAAGCGATCCGGTGAACTTCGGCGCGCGGCTGTCCCCGAAGTCGAGAATCTCAAAGATGGAACGCAGCCCACGTACCACCAGCTGCAGAAGTCCGTGCCCGTCCAGTTGCTCGCAAGAAACGGGTTCAGCTTCACAAAGCCCTGCAGAAACTTCAGCGTGTTCGCCTGCTGCGCGTCGCTGTACTCCGCGGTGGAGGCTGCCGTCACAAAGGAGGCTTCCACCACGCACAGCGCCAGCAGCGCCGCAGCCACCATCATGCGGCGCAACGGGTAGTTGAGCCACGCCATGGGTCGCAGGCAGAGAGTGCAGGAGAGAGGTGCCGAAGCCGCAAGAAAAGGGAGTCAGCCGTGACACGCGAGACGGGCGTCGGTGGGGTGTGTCGCGGTGGCGGGGGCCGTTGATAAATAGAAAAGAAACGGGAAAAGGAAAAGAGGCGTCGAAAATAAATAGCTTGAAAAGAGTTGCGGTTAAAGAGGGCGTTAGAGTTGAGAGCGCAGGGGTTACTGTGGAGCAGCGCAGGATGAAAGCGATGGCGGGAAAAGAAGCGGGGAGCAGTGAGCGAAGCAGTCGGGGAGCAGCGGTGGGCCGGTGTGCGCAGCAGGCAGCGCCGCCGGCCTGCACCACGCGCACGCAAACACGCGCACGTGCACGCCAGTCACACCACACCGCGGGGGGCGGTGAACGCTGCTCCGTCGCAGGCGTTGTCGATATCCTTCAGGACCATTTGTATGTCAAGTGCACTAGAAGTGAATAAACGAGGCAGTTAAAGCGAGTGGTTTCCGGTAAACTTTATCTCCACAGCTGTAACGGTCACACATCATCTTCATAGAAAACAAAAACTTTTTGCTATACTCAATGACACGTTAAAACTTAGAAAAGAAACTCATACGTCTGCTTGAGTTTGTGCGTCGTCGGCGGTGATGCGCAACCCGTTTTCCGCAGCCACTGTCGTCATCATCGCACGAATCCAACTGTTTCGTCCCTCCGCTGTTTTCCAGCGATCATGTACTTCCTTCGATGGACACACCTTCACAAAAGCCATTCCCACAACCTTTTCCTGCGTGCTCTGTTGAACACGAAGCAGTCCAATCGTCGACAGACACGCCGTCCACTCCTGCACCCAGTTTCGCCGTCTCGAGCCTTGTGTCCGTGTACTAGCAATAACCAACAGGCCGCCTTCATTGAGTGCTAGACAGGCGTGCAGGCAGGCGAGGAAGCGCAGGCGGGGTGTAGGCATGTAGGAAAGCAGAAAGCAAAAGAAGACCGCGTCGTAGCTTTCGAGTTGCAGTGATACGACGGAGAGAGGGTCAGTGTGCACGGTGTTCTCTGGGTGGCCAGCCGCCAGCGAAGAGGTTGCGGAAGACACCAAGCATGCTGAGGAATCCGCCCCCGTACGATCCTTCGTTCCAACTCTGTCCTCGGCTCTGCTTTCCTGTCTGTTTGCTGCAAGTAAGTCAGATTGTGAAGGCACCCGATACCGCACACGGCCGCCTTCCGCACGCCTCATTCCTTCATTTCCCAAAGAAAAACATTCCTCATCTTCTGGAGAGAAAAACTTCATGTCCAACCAGTCGCCCTGCCACACACGCGGCGACGGAGGATCTCGCAGGTTGTCTAGCGCACTATGTTCCTCCTCAAGATACGGCGCGAGATCGATCGACGTAACACGTAAAGGGACGGGAGGCAGGAGTGATGGCCGAGGAAGGCACTGGCCATAAAACGGGCCGTAGCATGCCCCCACGTCCAGGACGTAAAGCGGAGGAGGAAGAGAGGGAGCAGCGTCGGAATGATGGGCCTGCTTCCCCGTCGCGTGTGACGTCGTTGGGAAGGTGTAACGCAGCGCTGCCGCCCACGCTGTGCCGGCCCCACGCCGCCACGTGGATTCCCCTTGAGCACGTAGCCCCTCAGGATGAGTGCTCAGTAGCTTCCCTACAAGCGCAACCCCACTCTCACACGTCGGAAGCGCATCCACCGCTGCGGAAGGGGGTAGTCCTGATAAATCGGCTGCACGTGTGGCAGCTGCCGTATTCGTGTGTGGCACCGCCCCATCCGCTTTACAGGCCTCAACGAGCGCACCCACCTCCTCGCCGGTTGCCATTCGCTGGTACACGTCAAAGAAAGCACGACGCAGTGGCTTTACCACTCGCGCAAATACGCCAGGCAGGTGCATATAGACGGTACCGTTTACAGGGATAAGAAGCGGCGGAGAGCCTTGTTGGGGGTGGGGGTGGTGTTGGCCAGGAACGGCTGCCGTTTGTGCTTCTGCTGAAGATAGACTGTTGCGTCCACCCGTATCGTTCGAGCCTGCCGTTGCGCAGCGCTCCGTTGACGATGTCGTCGCGACCGTCTCGCCAAGGTAGTAGGACGCGACGCTTTGCAGGCAATACTGCAATCGGTCACTGTAGCGATGCGGCGCCTTTGCTGCACCGCCCGCCGCCGTTGTCGTGCCATTTGGTGTGCTAAGCGGGGTTCTTACGCTAGGAACAGTCAGTGCATCTCGTGGTCGCTTCTCTCCGATTCGCGGGGCCGAAGATGCATCGAGTACACTTCGGCGTGCTTTACTCTGTTGATTCTCGGGTGCCACTGCGTCTGAAAAAGTCTTCAACTGCATTTCAGCATCGCTCGCGGTGGTATTTAGGTCCCAATAATGTGTTGCGAGGTGATGCATCGCCGTAGCGTACACGCACAGTCGTTGCGCAGCCTCGACACCGTCCAGGGCCTCCCTCCACCTCTGCAGATCTTTTTCATACGGCAGCAAAGGCGACGGAGGAGACGCGGCGGTTGACGTGCCCTCCGTTGCTCTTCGCTGCTGTGGCAGGTGTGGTTGTGGGGGAGAAACGGCAGCAGCAGCTGCACCAGCGCCAGCGACCGCGCTTTGGAGGTGTCGGTGATGCTCTTTGATGGCCGCCGCCCAAGATAAGTTTTCGGCTACAGGTGGAACCGGCATGGAACTACCGTCGGTTGACGTCGGTGCCTCCGACACCGCCGTCTCAGACCGCGTAGGTGACAGCGCAGACGACGAAGTAGAAGTAGAATCCATTCTGGATTAGACGCCTCGGCCGCTGAAGAACGAAAGAAAGAAAACATCCCACCACCAAAAAAAAGGATAGTAAAGAATAGTAAAGAATAGTAAAGCTGGCATTCCAACGAGACAAAAGGAGCATCAGCAAGTATTAGGTTCGCCAATTAGAACGCAGATGCTCATTTGCAATTCGGTGTCATTTAAGAAAGCATGGTGATCGCGAACTCTGTGAAAACGGTGTTATCACACGCGCACGGGCATTCCCTGTGTGTTTATAAGTGCTTGTATAATGCCGCTTTGATCCGCCTCCAGTAACCATTGTGACCGCCAAAACGAGACACTATTTAGAGATGCTCTTTCCTTTAAATGTTGTTTGCTTGACAAGATCAACTCAGTTTTCGTACGGACAAAGGAAGTCCGTCACCGAGTCCACCACATCCGTGTGTGGGCCACGCCGAGGCACCTAAGAAATACTCGGGGGTCTCCCCACAATACGTTTTCTGACATGCCGTTATCGAGCGAAAACAACAAATAGCAATAAAACAGTAGCAATACAGACACAAGGCAGCCAACGTACGCTGCGAGAAAAAAGCACGCACACACGCACGACGAGAGAGGACAGCAACAGAATTGAACTAGAACGAATGCACCATCGTAAGAGAGAAAAGCTGCAAGGAAAAAAAAACGTCAAAAACCGATGTTGTTTTGTTTTGGGTTTGCGTTCGTAGAAATGCCTCAGCACAAGAAAAGAAAGGACTGGAAAAATAAGACGTGACTTCACTGCCCATTTCTTTTCCTTAAAAGAAAAAAATGTGCGGGAAAGAGAGGGCGAGAGGGGAGAGGAGGGGTATACTCCGCAACGTGGGCATCTGTTTTCGTGGCTTAGCATTCCACGTAGTCGCTGTCGTCGAAGGAGTCGCAGATGACGTCAATCGCAGGGTTGTCCAAGAGCTGCTGCACAGCCTCCTGCACCATGACAGAGCCACAAACGTTGATCACCTTCAACGCGGGACACTCAGCCAGGCAGTTTGCATCCGTCACGTTCGTCAGCTTTAAATCGAGCTCCTCCAGCGTCTTACTCTCCGTCAGCATCTCCACACCGTCATTGGTAACGGCGCTGCGACCGCAAAGGATGCGGCGAATCCGTGGGCAGCGATGAAAGGCGTTCACACTGGAGATGTACACGCAGCCGGTCAGCACCACCGTGTCCAGCATCGGCGACTCCTCCAGGTGGATGAGTGTGTAATCGGTAAGCGAGGTGTTCGCCGCGTCCAGCACGCGTAGACACTTCATATCTTTAAGAAATGAGACGGAGTTGAGGTCGGTGAGCGCGCAACGGAACATCTCGAGCTTCTCGCACTGCGCCACGCTGTCGATGTCGCGCAGACTCTCCACGCGTGTTATGTCGAGAAATCTTAAGGCGGTGAAGCTGCCCAAAAAGCCGAGATCGCGCAGCTCCCGACAGGTGTCCAGCGAGAGGTACTCCAGCTTCTGCGCGAGAGACTCCTTCATGGCGCTGAGCGTCTCGGAGTGCACGGGTGTGCTACAGAGCAGCAGCTCGGTCAGCGAGCTAAGCGCCGCTTGTGGAATTTCCGACAAGGCGGTGTCGACAAAAGTGGAGGAGAGGTTCAGCGAGTGTAGGTGCTCGCCGAGGTTGGCGAAGAACACGGAGGAGGTGTCGTCGTACACGCTGCAGTTTTCAATGTGAACATCCTCCAGCGACGTGGCGGTGTCGGGGTGAATAGCGTTCAAATTGGACAGCTTACAGCAGGAGCGCAGCATGAGCTTCTTGAGTTGTGGCAGCTGCAGCCCCGTCACGCCATCCGGCTCGAGAGGACAGAACAACACCGTCAAGGACTCAAGGCTCTTGATGCGGCTCGCGTCTGTCACGGAGGTCAGGCTGCGGCACGAGACCAGCTCCAACTGCTTCAGGTTGGTGAGTGCGCCAAGCGGCTCGAAGAAGGCACTCTCCACCTGTGCGTAGTTTAGTGCCAGGCGCGACAACCCGTTCGCTACAAGGGTGTGATAACGGCCCAGCAACTTCGCACTGTGCGTACGAAACTTCCGTCCAAGGGGCGGCAGAGACGACAGCGAAAAGGAGCTGCGCCCCTCTTCATCCTCCTGGGCATTAAAGAGGATGCACTGGCCGTAGCGGGACAACATAATCTCCTTGTGCGGTGCCCACGGGCCGTTGGCGCTCTGGACGGCGCTGCGGAACGGACGCGATACGCACCGCATCGCCGTCAGTGTGCGTCGGTTGTACGGGATGTACTGCATGATGTCGTGAAGGGTGTCTCTGTCTGCAATTTCACCCACAAAGGGGCCCGGTGTGCTCTGAGATAACATCTGTTTTTGGCTCTGTATGTTTGTTTGATTTCCGTTTCGCTCTTCGGGGGGGGGGGGAGATGATAGCGGTAGTTCGATCAAGGCGAATGTGTGACACAACGTTCTGCCGTAGCACCACACAGCGGTACCGGCACTCGCTTTTAAGCAGAAGAAAGGATTCTTTCTTCCACACCTGATGAGAGAAGAAAAGAGCAGGAAATAGGTAGACTAGAAAAAAAATGGAAAAGGGGAGAGGAGAGAGGAGAGGAGAGAGGAGGGAAAGCAAGGGAAAGCAAGGAGAACATTGAATACCTACTTAGAGTTGTCAGAAGAAACAATTACTTTATGAAGCGGCACAGCTTTGCTGCACGCACAACACCGCTCACCTCCGGACATCAGACACTAAAACAGCTATACTGCAGCAACGTTATATGGCACTCGATGAAAGCTGCTTACGTCGATGAAAGGACGCGGCAACTGTCGCTTTTCATTACCGCTTCTCCGTCAACACTATCAACAAAGGCAGATTATTTGAAAAAGAAAAAACGCTTGCCATAACCAACGCCGGCGCACAACAACCGCAATCATTCACAAAGCCAAGCATGCAGGGGACGCCACAACAGCACAGTCATTCTTACGTGTCTTCGCCTCCATTAATACGTCTCCAACGACACGGCTCAGGTGCCGCACACCCCGCAGATGAGCAATGTCGCAGTGGTATACGTAGGCCCCAGCGCCCACCGCGTCGCTGTAGCGACGGTGCACCGCATTCGCCACGGCGGCCTGCGTAAAGGTGGCGGAGGGCAGCGTGTACAGCGGGGTGCCGTCTGCACGATGGGTCAAACAACCTTTCCAACACCGCCGCTGGTGCACCGCGCGCAACAACCGCAGCACGTGCCCACGTGGGGGTCGGGCCATGGCAGTCCCACGTCGAAGAGCCACCGGTCACGCACTGCGACGGCCTCCATCGTCAGCGCAGGCGGCTCACCATCGTGCAGCAGAGACGCAGACTTGTGGAACGTGGAGGCCGAGTACGTCCCCCGCACAGGCTCCCCGCGGCGGCCCACCCGAACAGACGCCTCGTCCAGTCCCCACTGCTCCTATGTGTTTGGCAAGAGGTGCTCCCCCGTCGTGAAGACCCCGTCCACAGGCTGTGCACCTGCACCATGCACCACGGTCGCCTCGTCAAACAGTAGGTACAGGTACTGCAGCGTCTCCCCAACAACAAACGAATATATGCAGTTTTCCAGGTGGCTGCGACGGTGCCCCTGGCTGTTGTCAGACACCACCACGAACCCATTCGGCACCCGCGAGTGCAGCTGCAGCCCCACTGCAGACTCACACCCCATCTCCAGGTACGCCGGGTCGCGCGTCGCGCGGTACAGGTAGTAGAGCGAATCCGCGTGCTCCGGCCGCAACCTGCACTGAGGCGTTGACGCATACCCCGTTTCTCAGGTCCGTCGTCTCCGCCAGCGTCCCCGCACGCTTCAGCAGACCGTGCACCGCCCACACGCCCTGCACCGCCTCCCCGTGATGGCCGCCAAGGACCATGTTGCCCGGGAAGAGGTCAGAGAGACCCTGCGGCAACGCACTTCGCCGCAGCTCCTCCCTGCGAAACCGATCGCAGGAGAACCCGCCCTGCCGCAACCGTGCAGACGACGCCCGCCGGTCCACCTCGTATCCACGCATCGCATGGACGCCGCGGAGGACGAGAGCAAAAGAATGCGTTCAGCATCGAGTGACGCACATACCGCCACGCAAACTTGTGAGTGGGGAAACCAACGAAAGGAAGATACAGGGGGAGCCGCGTGAGTCATGAAGAAAGAGAGATTTTCTTGTCGTCATCGTCTCGGCGTCGTCCTCAGACAGTTATCAAGTGCTTAAATTGAGGGAACGTGCAATACCCCTCTGCTTCACAGGTGAAGCGCTGCATCCACTTCTCCTCAGTTTACAGCATCGTGGAGGTGTAGACAAAGTATCATTCCTACAGCATTTGCATCACCTCTTTCAGTAACGCTGATCGCTATCCAAGAGAAGATTGGCAATAGCGCTCCTGATTTGCTTGCTCATGTGTTGCAACGATGCCGCGTTCACGATCTGCCTGTGTCTGTGAGGAATGAAAGATTGCTGAAAGTGCTTTGAGGACGCACTCCTGGCCGCATTCCGCGTAGCGCCAGCGACAGAAAGGGAGAGCCGTAACGCCACCCCTTCGTGAGTTTCTGCGTGGTTCGTGCAGTCGTTGCGGCGCAGCAGTTCGCCCCTTCTGCGTACATCCGACGTTGTAGATGGCGGTGAAAACCTCACCTGAAGCGTGGCCTTTCTGCGAGGAGACGCGAGAGGCGAAAGTGACGATGCAGTCGCGTTGTTCGTGTGCTCCGCTGCTGTCGCCATGGGCAGTCGAGACGCGTAACAGTACGGCTCTGCTGTACTGAACGCACGCGGGTTGGGGGGGACGGAGGCGCATCCGTGCTGCACATCCTTTGCGCGCGACTGCCGTAGACTGCGTGATAGCTTCGCCTGAATCGCCCCAAGACGCACGCGCCATTCGTCCTCTGCGTCGTTTCCCAGAGACCGTGCCGGCGTAGCATACCCAACATGCTGGTTCAAAGGCGGTTCAAGGGAATCGGCACAATGAGGGAACTCGCTTGGGCTGTACTTTCCAAACGCTGGCAGTGAGGGTGGCAGGCGGCTGCGTACGCTCCCCCGCGTATTGTGCATCTCGTCATCAGCTGTTTGTGTCTGGGCAAAGACCTTCGGTGACTTGCGGACGAAACGGCCATCACTACGGCCCAGCGACGCCGTGTCAGACGGGGAGGAGTCTATTTGCGCAGCGCTGCAGCCAACAGCGTCGCGCTTGGCGACTCGTCTTCGCAAAAGAGCCCTCTGCTCCACGTTCGAAGGAACGTCACGCGAATAGTCGCGGTTTGGGAAGAGCGGAGGGGGGGAGGATTGATGTTTGTCCTTTTCCAGCGATGCGACATCGCCTGACGACGCCTGTGGGGCACGCTGGCCACCGCCGTCTACCACAGCTGCACCTCTATCATCATCCCGGCGTAAACGCGGCGCGAGGAGGCGCCCTGCGTGTGATTGCATGTCGCGCGAAACAGCGCCGGGACTCACGCCTTTCACACCGTTGCAGGAAGCGAGATTTGCAGATGTTTTGTTTCCTTCATTTGGCACGTTTTTCGTCGTGTCATCCAAGAAAGGAATGGGTGCGATCTGCGTGGGGTGCTGATAGGTGTCCCACAACCCCTGCGTGAGAACGGCGCGGCGCGTTGCGGTGCTCGCCTCCGCTGATGAAGTTGCTGGGGGCGTCGCATCCCACGCTGTGACGCTCCGTTGCGCCTGTCCCCGACGGTGCAGTCGCGCGCACTCCTTCGCCGCAGACACCACCGCCTCCTGCACCACGCCATAGGAGGAACACGCTTCGTCGAAGAGCGCGCGCAGATTATCGAGCTCGCGCTGGTGTTTCTCCAGGCTCTGCGCCTGCGCTTGAGCAGCGGTGGCGTGAATCGCTATCAAAGCCGACAACTGAGTTTCGAGAAATACCAGATGCGCGGACGTGCAGCGGCGATCGGCGAGGTGCGGCGTTGTCGAAAGACTTGACACAATCACCCACTCCTTGTGCAATTGCGCTGTTAGATCACGCAGCCTCGCCGCGTTCACCTCGCACGCTTCCACAACTCGGAGAAGGTCAGCTTGATCGAGGGAAAGGCACAGCTCCTGTTCTTGAGCGGCGTCAAAGACCAGGCTAACACGGTATTGTTCCGGGTAAACCGCCTGCACGCTTCGAAATGAAACTTGTGCAGCATGAAAAAGCGCCGCTTCTGCCTCGCGCAACATCGACTCCGTGGAAGGCATGTGTGTGTAGAGAGAGAAAAAAAAAAAGAGATGTGTGAGGTACAACACGCACACCTCGTGCAGGATCAATCGTTTCGAATGTCAGCAGGTGTGCTTTTAGTTTCGGTTGCTGCTGTTAGAGAAGGTTATCGCGTCCGTGTCTCTCCGCGCAGGCACACGCAGGCGAGAAGAGGCGTAGGATCTTCTGAAGTGCTTCAGCGCCAACAGCGCCGTCATCGGAGACAATACATTCAACCGAATCCGAGACGCCAAACGGTAGTGTATTCCATCGCAAATGTTCTTCCGACCCTGTTCAAAACTCCAAGAAACGCATTTCCCCTTTAATACACCATTTCCTTACCGAAAGCGCTCTTTTTATTTGCTGTTGTAGTAGTTGTTGTTTCCACGGCACAGCAGAGAGGTCAGACACGCCCCGCTTCGCTAGACCATGCGTCGGCTCATCCCACACGATGGGCCAAAGACGCACGTGCGTCACAACTTTCGTTTCCATTCCTTTCTCTCGCTGTGAGACCCCAAGCGGAAACGGAAGGTACACGCTGAAAAGCACCTCTGCGTCCGCCGTCAAAAAGCAGAGCAGGCACACCGCACTGAGATACAAAGCAAATACACGCGGCAACCACAATGGCTGACGAAACGATTAAGCACAGAAAAACCAGCGTTAAGGAAGCGGCAGAGATCACAGCATCCTCTCGCATGAGAAAAGCGTGTGAACACGTACGACCCAACCGAAAACGGAAGCGGATCATCTTCTCTCCTACACCCTCAAAGGAGCACAGCACCCACAGCGCAAACCACACCGATGATAACTGGCAAAAGTCGCCGGGTACACGCGGGGGTATTCATGAGAGCCGAAAGTCCCTGACGCAGTGCCGTCGCCCTCACGATCCAACCATAACACCCACAAGAGAAGCCCGATAGAGAGGGGAGAGCACAGAGTTATAGCAGTCAGCAACAACTCCATTGAAGCCTACTTTCCAATAAGTCTCCGGCGTCGCCGTAAACGGGGCACAAATTGCACGGCTTCACGGCAGGCCAGTAGCACATTTCAGCACACCTCAGCGCTTAATGAACTCCTCGGGCCGTGCAGATGCGGCTCACTGAGCGGCTCCAGGCCATTTAACAGCACAAACACATGTGACGCACACGTCGTGGTACGCACCCGTTCGCCGCTGCCTTCACGGCACATCGCACTCTACCGCCAGATGCCAGCTAAAAAAGGAAGAGGAGAGAAAAGAGCCAGGGAAGGAAGTGGAAAATGCAGCACCCACTGCAAAGGAAGGCGGTCCTCCACAGAAGTCGTGTCGTGATGCGGCAGCGCAACGGGCGCTGCTCAACATACGCAATGCCACCTTGTTGTTCTGCAATAAAACAAGAAGGGCAGTGCGTCGAACACACGAGCTGGCCCGCTTCACCCAAGTGGAAAGACGTGAAGATCAACCTTAACACCGCAGCTGGACAGCAAGGACGCCGTGCATCTGGCGTGTCCGCGCAGCAGCTCACTGCATTCACTTCGCTTTTTCCATGCGCGTCATTTCTGGGTTCTCTTACAAAAACGAGATAGAGAAAGGCAGGAGGGTGCGGGCGAGAACAGTTGCCACGGAGCACCCAACCGCGAAACTAGAGAAAAGCGGCAAGTGGCAGGAGTAGAATAAGGCCTCACCAAGCAAGCACAACGCCCTACGTACAAAACACAAGAAGCAAAAAAGATTAACAAGGGGGTCTCGGGGAGCTGGAGAAACAGCCGAAGACGACCCCGTCACTGTATCATAAGTATGGAGCAGAAAAGGAAAAGGAAAAGCACACATGAAATCGCGCGCCTCCCAAACAATCGAGGGAGAAGAGAGAAGTGGCGCAGATGCGCGCAAAACACGAGCCGCATAAAACGATGGTTCTCGCGCAGCATCCGCCACGCACGCAACGAAAAAAAGGGAGAGAGAACACGAAGGGAGTGGATCTAGGAGGCGGTGGGAAGCATCTAGGGGAAATACTTTCCAAGAAAATATTCTAAGACGCGAAAGGGGGGTTTGACCCACGTATTATTGAGGGGTGAAGAGGAGGCAAGAACGGGAGGTCCCTCGCAAAGTGTGCAGATCTAACGGGCACACGTTACCCATAGTGCATCATCTTAAACCGATAGGGGTCGTGGCGGTAGGTGAACGCACCACACCTCACAACGGGCACGTTCGGCCACGCACGCGGCTCCGGGTCACCCACCGCGCTCACACCGCATTCCGCAGCACGCGCCGTCGCAACGGGCGCGTAGCGCTCCTCGAGGTGGGCCGGCGGGCGAGTCCCGCGGCGGGACGGCCTCGCCTGGGCGGCGCGCGCACGCGGCCGAAACGCAGGCGCCAGCACCACGTAGCGCGACGTTGCCTTCGCCGCGATGTTCGTGGCGAAGGGAGACCCCGGAACCTCCCGCAGCACCAGCGCCTCCAGCTCACGCAGCTCCGCTACCGTCCCGGCAGTCGCAACAACCGTTTGGACAACAAAGTTCCCAAACGGATGGCACACCAGCGAGTGCAGCGCGCGGGTGTCGAACACCAGCTCCGCCGCCACCAGCCTCCGCACCGCACACGAGCCCTCGCACACAAGCAGTACCGTCTGCACGACATTGCTGCCGTACTTGTCTACGCTGAGCTCCACGAGGTGGCCGCGCAGGTGCGCCAGGCAGTACCCCTCCGTCGCACGAGGGCCACCCAGCTCCAGCACTCGCTGCACGAGGTAATTGGCGAAGCGGTCCTTCGCCAAAAGCACAAGGTGCGGCAGCAGCGGCCTCGAAAGCGTCGCCCTCTGCTCCACGCTGCAGCGCTCGTACACATGTATCAGGGCCGGGCACCCGCGCTGCGTCACCGCGAGGGCATGGCGTCGGTCGCAATCGTCTGGAACAGAGGCCCACGGGCATAGCTGGGGGGCGTTCCATCACGCGCTCCATGACAAAGCGATGGCCTGGTCAGCCATTGAGCTAATTTGAATGGTCGTATTTTCAGCGCGTGTGCGTGTGTGAAGAACACGGGCGAGTGAAGCAGGAGTAGAGAATCATTATTGCTGGCTCTTCTTTCGATTTTGATTTGCTCTGGTTATTTGATCCCTCATTACGACGCAGGATCAATCAACCGCGTGTTGAAAAGAGAAGCAGAAACGTTGAAAAACGAAAGAGAAAGATGAGCGAAAAGGATCGTGAGAACGGTGCTCGGTGCTGGGTGGCAGGTGTGAGGAAGAGCGATGGTCAGCGCAGCAGCGTTGCGGGGAAGAAAAGTCAGCATCAATGGCAAAACCCGAACGTCAGGCACGCACACTGCTGAGGTGCAGAAACGAAGGGCGAGGGGTGCTAAAGCAGCGGGCAGCAGAGAGAGCATGAGAAGCCCGAAAGAGAGGGGAGAGGGGAGAGGAGAGAGAACGGAGGTGAAGAGCGAAGAAGGGTGTGCAAACACTACACCTACGGCAGCCACAGTCCACAGATGGGCAAGCCCGCGTCGGCAAATGGCAGTCGCACAGACTGGGACGTCGCCGCATCGCGGTTGCACGACACACACACACACACACACAC